GTCGAGTTCATCTGGGTCTGCAAAGACACGTCGTCATTCGAATGGTTCCAGACCTTGCTTTCATCGCTCGAGGCTCAATCTCTCGGTGGTGCAGATGGAGACCAATTCCTGCGGATCCACACATATCTTACACAGAAGATGGATGTTAACACTGCGCAAAATATCGTGCTTAACTCAGTGGGCACTGACAAGGACCCACTCACCGAACTCAAATCCCGCACCAACTTTGGACGTCCAGACTTCCAGCGCCTGTTCTGCGGTATGCGAGATGGTATTCTGGACCGCACATACATGAACGGATTAGAAAGCACTCTACGTACAGAGGTTGGTGTTTATTTCTGCGGTCCCAACGTTGCGGCTAGGGATATTAAGAAGGCATGCAAGCAGGCAGCATGCCAAGAGGTCAACTTCAAGTTCTGGAAGGAGCATTTCTAAGCGAACCAAGACATGTATTGATACGAGAAATTGGATAGGCGTATTGAGGTTGTATGTTACGATTAGCCTTCAGAGTAGCTGTCTACGGATGCACTCATTTTTATGTGTCCCTATCCACAAATGCGGATTCAAACAAAGAATTATTTTCGAATCCTCTATTGTACTCGAATTGATGTTGATATGAAACTCGATGTGTATGTTGGGCTGACAATACCTAATGGATATCGTGATGCATGTTGAGACGATATGGAGACGAATATTACTACGAATGTCTCAGCAGATTCCAATGAGAACCATCGAACCATTCTCAGTCCACTCTGGTATCTTTCAATCAAACCTCTTGCACTCATACACACCTCTGTTCGCCTCGCCTCCCTACAGCCTCGCCTCGGTATCTGGTCCTTCCGACCCAGCGCATGATGAAACACGAAGCATGCACACATCCTCATCAAGCCACCTTAATTATTGTATCAATTCTCCACGTACCAAGTCCATCTTTGCGAGCAAATGACGAATGCTCAGGCCCAAAAGGCCAGAAAATAGAGCGGTGCGACAATGGGTCGATAGGATGAAGGACGAAGGATCACAAAGGCGTAAGGCCGCCTGTCTCAAGCCGATTCATGTACGCGCGCGCGACCTCCGCTGTCCAAGGTCGATGCTTTACCACTACTTTTTCGAACGTGTCCACGTTGATGTAGATTATGGGTTTTGTTCTGTATATAGCCATCGATAGCGCGATTCGCGTCCTAACATCGCCACAAATTGCGGCGCAGCCTTCCAGCACGGCCGCGTGTCGATGGGAACAGGGACGGCTCGTCTGATGTGCATACGGCGCAGTTAGCTCTATAGGCTGTGGTGGCTCTATGCGTCTTGCTGATCGATGGACAAGGTACGCCTTGAGCTGAACGAAGATGAGGTCTGTAGGTAACGTTCCGAAGTCTGCGCGACGCTGTGTTGCGCGTCCGATTTCTCCACGAGCGACACACGACTCAGCAAAAGCGAACAAGAATGTCGGACGATATGCTTGCGCAAACGTGACATATTAGTCCTTCCATCGCCGCTGCGTTGCAGTCCAACGGACGCATCTAGACCTCTCAATCGGTCAAATGCCGACCAGCTTCCATGTTCGTAGTCGGTCACGAGCCGAGACTCCGACAATTTCCAAGCCTAATCCACTCAACACCACGTCTCCAACATCGTGAAATCTGTCTTCGTGACCTAGGCTCGGGGTTCGGTGTAGGCTGCGCTACCGTATGCAGTATAGTTGCAGTTAGTACGCGCAGCCTGCAGCTGGACCCCTTCTACGCTTTCGCACGGAACTGCCTGACTCGGAAGCCGGTACTGCGCTTGGGTTGCGGACTTGCACGCACTCCCATTCGTGGAAAGTTGTTTTCTGGAGGCGGTGTGTGGGGTTGGTCCTTTTCGGGGGTGACGTTTGAATGAATGGAGGTATTATTCACAAATGCCCCGCACCAATTGTGAAGGAGCGGAAGGGTAAAGTCTGGGTAGTAGCGGTAGCTAGATTGATAACTGCAGGCAGAAAAGAAGGGCCGCGGTAAAGAAGTTTGAGGCCAGGTGATCTATTGACCTGGACGTCCCCCGTTTGTTTACCTTTGGTTTTCAATCGGACCTTCCTTCCTTCCTTCCCTGCTTTATAGTTCTCTTTCGTTCATTCAATGGCATCTCTTCCCCTCTTCCACAGCTGGGCGTCGGAGATCAAAAACGCACTCAACATCGAAGAGAAACCTAAGATGAACGGCACAAGCACTGAGGCTGCGCCAGCAGCGATAAACGGCGTCAGCAAGTCGAATGGCACTGATGTCAAGTTCTCAACCAAGGCGAACATTGGTGTTTACACGAACCCCGCGCACGATCTTTGGGTCGCGGAGGCGGAACCGAGTTTGGAGGAAGTGCAAAGAGGTGGAGACCTGAAGCCAGGAGAGGTTCTTCTCAATGTCAAGAGCACCGGTATCTGCGGTAGTGACATCCACTTCTGGCATGCTGTATGTTCTGATTTTATTATTTTTTTTGCCTCGAAACAGGGCGCGGATAGAGCATTGGCATGTGCTAACAACATTCTCAGGGTTGCATTGGTCCTATGATAGTCGAGGACACTCACGTCCTGGGTCACGAATCCGCCGGCACAGTTATGGCCTGCCACCCCTCAGTAACAAACCTCAAGCCTGGCGACCGTGTAGCCATCGAACCCAACATCATCTGTGGTGAATGCGAGCCGTGCCTTACAGGTCGCTACAACGGCTGCGAGCGCGTACAGTTCCTCTCCACTCCTCCTGTCACCGGTCTTTTGCGTCGTTACCTCAAGCATCCAGCAATGTGGTGCCACAAGCTCCCCGACAGCATGACTTTCGAGGACGGCGCCATGCTTGAGCCTCTCTCCGTGGCCCTCGCAGGAATGGACCGTGCAAACGTCCGCCTTGGTGACCCAGTCATCGTTTGTGGCGCTGGTCCGATCGGTCTCGTAACTCTTCTCTGCTGCCAAGCAGCAGGCGCGACTCCCATTGTTATAACCGACATTGATCAAGGCCGTCTTGACTTTGCCAAATCGCTAGTCCCAGGCGTTCTTACCCACAAAGTGGAATTCAGCCACTCACCCACCGACTTCCAAGATGCCATCCTCAAACTCACAGATGGTGTTGAGCCCTCGCATGCCATGGAGTGCACTGGTGTTGAAAGTTCCATCAACGCTTGTATTCAGACTGTAAAGTTTGGCGGCAAGGTCTTCGTTATCGGTGTCGGCAAGAACGAGATGAAGATTCCTTTCATGAGATTGAGCACCCGGGAGGTAGACCTGCAATTCCAGTACCGATACTGCAACACATGGCCCAAGGCTATCCGGTTATATAAGAGCGGTGTCATTGATCTGAGCAAGCTTGTCACTCATAGGTTCAAGTTGGAGGATGCGGTTGAGGCGTTCAAGACCGCTGCGGATCCCAAGACTGGTTGCATCAAGGTGCAGATCCAGAGCTTGGATTAGATGTTTCTGGCGTTGTGTGACATAGATTCTTTATGATATTTATGACTAAGATGCGATGATGATGGGGTGGCAGGCCCGAGGGTGTTTTCAGCATTTAGATATATGGCGTTTTTGAGAGAGCTCTTATATGCTCAGCAATATCTCGCAAGATTGAGAACTTGAAGAGTGTCCGTGCCTTTTTGTATCTTGCTCACCTCTACTGCGACTCAGTCCAATGATGCCCAGCTACCCATTCATGTAGTTATGTAAAAGTCACCAGTTTACCTTCTTGTGCCATACAGACGATCTTCTCTGAGACGCTCGCAACAACTCCGCCACCCAGCCCTTTTTCTATCTAAGAGGACCTGCTTATCCAGCCTGACTATTTCAACATGATATGAATCTGTAAATACACGCGTAAATCGTTCTAGACTTGGTGCGAGGAACGTGGCAACGCCATCGAACTCTGCAGATGTGGTGAGTAGCGAGGAATCAGATGTGGCGTTCGGCGCCGAGGTGGTGGAGGGAATGCGGAGCATAGAGCCGGAGGTGTGGATCTGCAAGCACAAGTGTCAGCGTCGAGGTAATGGATGAAGGGATATTAAGAAGCAAGAAAGTACGTACTTCCTGGTATTGTACAATACCATGTTGCTCTGTTTAAGGACCTACTTTCGGCGCCTGTATTTCTTTCCAATGTTCGTAGAATTGCCTGGAAGCTAGGTTGCGGTTACGCACTATGTATGTGAGCATCTGTGTAGGTCCTTTTCCTACCCGGTGCGTCATCGCTGTGGTGATGTCTTAAGCGCCTTGGGCATCTAGCCCCACGAGGCCATCAAGCTGCCTCGTACATGTATGCTTTCATGACAGCATGTTACGGAAATATGGGCGCTGTAAGCGCAGCGTGGCCGACGTTGACGTTCGATGCCTGACATGTGTGCCTGCGCTTCCTGTTGGCATGGTTGCGACGGCTGTATGGAAGTACCTAGATATGGTCGTGAATCTTGGTTTGTGTCCCTCGGCTGATTACGGAACCGCGCATAGATGTCTGCAACTCTGTTGCGATCTCTGCAATGGCTACATGTGGACGCCTGTAGTGTTAGACCGGGTTCCATAAGGCTGACGCGTGATCGATCGAGTCGAAGGATACGCGACGCGACTGGGCTGGGAAACTATGACGACGTGAAGTCGCACAGACACAGACTAACACTCCAACATGGCTCAGCCCCCACAACCGTTGGCTCCTCCTACCTGCCTTGTATGTCCTGTATGTCCACCTCCTTTCGCGAGCAAGAACGATGCATGGACACCGTTCACAACGTTTCTCCCCTTCTAGCGCTCCATGTGCAAGGACAGGCGAGCCAGGGGCCCGGTCCGCCATAGTAGCAACGACCAATGAAATACAGCAAGCAATCTATTCCGTTCTAGCCATAATTGCGTGGGAAAACAGGGCCTACAGGTCGCTTAGAAGTAACTCCTGGATCTTCATATATGCACATCCAATACTTTATGGCTAGGTTGGTTTTTGATAAGATCACTTGTCTGCTACTCCTCTCCAACATGTTCATCCTTCCTTACCTTCCAGCATCTGAAAATGCTGCTACTGACTGTCCTCGCCTTGTGTTGTGCGATAATCGTGCAGGCTCGCTCACATCTTGGACGCACTGCCAAGGTCGTCGATGCGAGGCAGTTCACCAATGAGACGACCTATGATTTTGTCATCGTCGGCGGTGGTATTGCAGGGCTTACCGTTGCAGATCGCTTGACGGAGAATCCAGATGGTAGATCACACCCAATCTCCAAGATGTTTCAGTTAACTTTTAGCAACAGTTACTGTACTGGTCATCGAATATGGCCCTTTCGACTTGAAAGAGGACGGCGTCATGATCCCTGGCGCATATTTCCCAGTACCGTACCTCTGGCTACCATTGATGAGTACACCACAAACCACGCTTAACAATGCGTCGTTTGGTGTGCCATGTGGTAGAGTTGTGGGTGGTGGGTCTGTAGTCAATGCGATGTTCTTCCATCGATCGGATGCTGAGCTTTACAACGCGTGGGAGGAGCTGGGGGCGACGGGCTGGGGTTGGTTCGATCTGCTTCCATATTTCAAGAAGGTATATGGTCTCCTGGGTCTCGAAACATGACGCTGACCTGAATCAGAGTGAGACCTTTACAGCACCAGATGCAGAATATGCGGCGCGTCATAACATTACGTGGGACGTCGCCATACATGGCTCTGACGGCCCGGTGCAAGCCAGTCATGCTCCGTACGACTACCCAGGAAGTGGTGAGCCGGTGTTAATCAACTTTTGTTATTGAAAACTGACTGCCGGTATAGCCAATAAATACAATGGAGCACTAAGTTTGGGTATCCAGCCGAGTTTGGATCCCAACGGTGGTCGCGCCCAAGGCGTATTCCGCCTTCTTCGCTCTATTGATCCTAAAATACAAACGCGTTCTTCAGCTCGCATCAACCGCTACGACAGGGATGCTGTAAGACCGAACTATCACATCCTTCCGAATACAGCAGTATCGCGTGTCGTTTTCGAAAATCTCACCGCTGTAGGTGTTGATCATATTAGCACTTCCGATGGTACGAAAGGTACTGTCCAAGCAAGCAGAGAAGTCATTATAGCTGCTGGAAGCGTACATACACCACAGATACTACAACTCTCTGGGATTGGTGACCCAGTTCATCTCAAGAATCTTGGTATCGAGCCGATCTCCCAGCTCCCTGGCGTTGGTCGCAACCTGCAGGATCATCTAGTTCTGAAGGTGAATTACAATTGTACGTAGCCAATTACCAATTTGAGAAGATAGAAGTACTGATCGATCCAGACACGTCCAACCACGTTCCAAACGGTGGATCCTTGCAGTCTAACGCTACATATGCCATGGAGCAACGCGTTCTCTATAACACGAGGAAGCCGAGCGCATACGACCTTACTGGTACAACTGGCAATCTAATGATTCAGCTGCCTCTTTCGAACTTCACAAACGCCTCCGTATCAATCATGTCTAAAGCGGCTTCAATATCTCCTGCCGATATACTGGGCAAAGATATCGACCCATCCATACTCGCCGGTTACGAGAAACAGCGTGCCATCATAACCAAGGGCATCAACACGGAGGCTGTGGGTGGCTTGTCATGGAACACTGGACCAGAGACAAGTATCTACATGACGCGTCCTTTTAGCCGTGGATCTATCAAGATAAAATCTACTAACGTCCTCGATGCCCCACTCATTGACTATGGCGCAATCACCGATTCGACCGATCTTGATATATTGTATGCCATCTATATGAAAAACCGGGAACTTATGGCCACACCTGATCTTGCTATCCTTGGTCCTATCGAGACAGCACCCGCGCCAGGCATTGAAAACGAGGACGACATCAAAGAGAGTATCAAAGCAGCATTGGAGCCAAGTAACGCGCATCAATGTTGTACGGCCGCTATGATGGCAAGGAAAGACGGTGGTGTTGTCGACCCGCAAAACAGAGTCTATGGAACACGCAGGATTAGCGTAATAGATGCGAGCACGTGGCCTCTTGTCGCTGGTGGTGGGCCACAGGCTAGTGTATATGCTGGGGCAGAGAAGGTAAGATACCGATAGAGACTATATGACAGCCATCTTTGCTAACGGCATTTAGGCTGCAGATTTGATCAAAGAGCGTCACCGATTACTCTGATGTTCGTTTCTCGATCTTGATCACTGGTTTCGTAAGCCGACGCATGGACATTGGAGACGCCGTCGGATTTTGCGGCGTTATCGCACTTCACCATCTTACAAGCGTCAATCTCACTCTGAAGCTTAACATCGTTGCCAAGTTATGTGTAACTTCATTTATAGTTTCCAAGTGGTTTATCATATGTAGAATTACCAATCAATAAACAGGGGGTGAGCTGAGAGCAATAGTACAAGAACATTCGCGTTACGATTACCCACTTCGCGAAAGACCGAGTGGTACACGAGCGCCGAAATGGATATTCTAAACTTGTTCCATGTTCAGGAGATGATTGCTGTTGTCACGGGCGGAGGTACAGGTATCGTATCTCCATATGATCTTGTTCTGATTCGAGTTCTCATTGCAGTCCTCAACAAACCACGATTCTAGTCGCACCGCTAATATTGCACCCAGGTATTGGTCTTATGATAGCCAAAGCTCTCGTATCTGCAGGCGCTTCCAAAGTATACATTCTGGGTCGCCGCAAAGACAAACTCGAACTCGCAGCTGCATAGCATGAAAGCCTTATCCCACTGCAATGCGACATAACATCGAAAGAATCACTACAAGCCGCCGTTGATACCATCGCTAAAGATGTCGGATTCATCAATCTACTTGTCGCAAATTCTGGTATTCTAGGTCCAACATCAAGCTTCGTGCCAGGTCTCGGCGTCCAAGAATTGCGAAAGAACATATTCGAAGACACAGCCATGGAGGAATTTGCGCAGACATTCCATGTCAACACAACTGCGACATACTTCAGCATGTTCGCTTTCCTTGAGTTATTGGATGCAGGGAACAAGAATGCACTGGATGGTGGCTTTGGTAAGCCACTTGGAGAAGGCAGCAAGGTACCGAGTATACAGTCACAAGTCATCATCACATCTAGCGTTGGCGCTTTTTTGCGTGAGTGGCAGTGCGCGCCGGCATATGCAGGGAGCAAAGCAGCCATCACACATATGGTCAAACACGCTAGCACGGGACTTGCACCGCACGGTATTCGGATTAACGCTTTAGCACCTGGATGCACGTCTTCCAAATCTCCCAACTCTAGAGACTTGCCGCTGATTAGATATACTAGTCTTTCCCTCAGAAATGGCCAATACTATTATTGAGAGCAGAGATCCCAGTACGGAGAGCGTCGACGATCCGAACTTTATCCCCGCACGTCGGTTTGGGGGAGAAGAGGAAATGAGTGGAACAATATTGTATCTTGCGAGTCGGGCGGGCAGCTTTTGTAATGGACTGATACTTGCTAATGACGGAGGGAGGTTGGGTGTTACGATGAGCACTTACTGAACACAAGAGAAGAGACAAGTGTCTGTTTGGAGTAGGCTTATCGTACATATATGGATTGATAGCATACGCGCCCTGGATGTGACGCCATATTCGCTAATTTTCTTTCATTATACCGATCATGACTGAGCGGTGTGGCCTTTCTTCCTGACTAAGAGATATCTGATGCTGGACGGGAAAGGAGCAGTGTATAGGACGAAGGAAGACAAGGCTGAGCGAAAGCCTTCACCCCCAACACCCTAGCGTCCGCTAGCGGCAAGTGATCTTAGTGGAGGAGCACGACCCACCCTTCAAGTGCTCGTCCGTCCTCCTCAACCCCAAACCAGACCAACGTCACAGCCTTCGATACCACAAGCCATCTTCTAGCTTGCTGCTCATCACCTTTGTACACCAGCCCATCACCGGCATCTCTTCCCCATTCACATACAATGTCCATGCCGCCCATCGGCCCCTTTCCTTATCCATTACCGCTCTCACACAGCGCACATGCGATTTATCCAACATGATCCCTGAGCGTGCGGTGTGCATGTGGAGCCCCATACTACGCTCTTTCCTGCACATCCTGTGTGACACCTGCTGACCGGCCTTGTGCTTCTGTGTGTGCAGACTTGTGTAACGTGGACAAGGTGGTATACCTGTATCTGCCTTGCAGCAGGGTCCAGATGCAGCGGAGACCCGTTTCTGAAACGCGTTTGTCTACTGCGTTTGGTGCAGAAGATGAGGGCGGTGTGTATTCTGGCGTGTACCGGGACGAGGCAGAGAGCGTATTGCTAATGAAGACTTCGTGGTCTAGTCTCCGTGAGGAGCTGTGTGTATCTTACTCGGGAGTCCTGCAGGGAGATCTCTGAAGTCGGTGACATGCAAACTAGGCTCGAGCAAATGTATCTGCCAGCAAGGTAGGGGTAGCCTGTCAAAATATGGTAATACAGCTAAGGCAGATGCCTCAGAGAAGTGAGGACGCACATACTCTCTTCAAATGACATGAGAGGTGCTTAGCAACGCGTGTCAAGCTATAGCAGCATCTTACCCACTTTATAGGGTGGAGCCATAGGGTTAAATTTCGTTACGATTATCATTATTCGTCCTCGACCCCTCTTGTGCTTATCAGTACAAAGTATCTAGTACATGACCGGCTATGTTTTTGTGGTGTCGCATGCGCCGCAATCGTATGCATACTAAGCTTCGATGTGTCTTCCCCATAGTGAGAGAGTGTGAACCTGATAAGGATGCGGGGTGTGCTTAAAGAGTGGCCCTGGCGTTTTGTCTTGGTCAAAAGACATGATACTGATGTTGGTATACAATGAAACACATTAACCGCCCGTGCGATAAAGTATTGTGTCGTAGCCCAGCGATGACACATAAAGTGATATGATATAGAACAGTGTGACAAACATATCGCGTTACAATGCAGTGTCATATAAGCAGTACAGAAAGACGAGCCAGATTCAGCCGAGGAAGGCTTGCCGTTCGGCGAGAACAACATCGAAAGTCAAATGTGACTGGGTCTAGAAATATGCTCATGGAAGTTGCAAAGCGCTTGGTAATCCGAGTTCTGAGTCCAGGATACGTGAAGGTCATGCGCGGGGGACTCAAACTCTCCTGGGAGAATGCGGTCCTTGTAAGGTCTTGTACATTGACATATCGTCAAGCCGTTTTGAGTACGCCAGGTTGCTGATGAAAGACGTGTGTATCGCAGTAAAGATGGGATGAATGGGCTGACGGATGGAGATCAACCGGTCATGCAACCAGGTACGAGTATCTCAGTAAGTGCTATTGAGGCTCCCCATGGAAGTGCGATGGAGCTGCACGTTCCGGCTTTGGTATGACTCGTGATGCAAGCTGCGATTTCCAGGTGAGCTCTGCAACTGAGAGTGATTGAGAGGCGTATAGCGATGACCGCTTACGAGTGCGCAATCGCTCGCAGACTCACCACTTAATGAGTTTCGCTTTGACGAAGAACTGGGGCTATAGCTGTATAGATTCGTCTGGGAACTTGGTCGTGCCATTTGACGACTTTCGCGTACATAAGAGTAGTTTGTAGCTGGCGCTGGTGCACTCATCGCATCAAGGAGACCAGACGTGCTGAAGTTGAGCTCCAGATGGGATGCAGTGGTTGTTGTTATTGTGTCATCAGCAGTGGATGTTGTGTTCGGCAGGTAGCCTATTCTACTCTCCGCATTGTCTGGCACGACTGGGAATATCGCTTGCGTAAAGGCATCTGCCGGTATGGCCGCAGATGCATTTGTGTGATTTTCACTGTCGTTGGCCCAGGGTAGTGAAGGTTTCGCGAATGAGGTCCTACTGTCCACAGCAGAGGTGCCGATTGCCTGAGCAGAGCGAAGACGAGCATCCTGCATCTGGTCTACAGCATTACGATTGGTCTGTGCCGGACTGGGCTGCGGCATTGGGAGTTGCCTCCGAGGTACACTGGATTCCAGAGGAAGGGGTCGTTGAGTATGGGCCTTCTCGGGTAACGACAAATGCAGAGACGACAGCCCAGTATTGAGCGGGGATATATCCGAAGACGTAGCTAGTCGATGGTTTGTATGAGGAAAATGCAAGCCCTGGTCGAAGTATGTGCGGCCCTGTTGGACAGCCTTTGTCGTCGGCTGAGTCCAACGAAATGAAGGTGAATACATGCTTGTGTTTGCTACTGCTGTAGACTGAGATATGTATGCCTGAGATTGCTCAAGACTGTAAGCGTCAACTGGCGACGTGTCATCGGAATAAGGTATGGTCCAATTTGACGAGCACATTGGCTTTGTGTCGAGCTGCTGGTATTGCTGAGCCGATATCGGGCGTTGATAAAGAGCGCTGTCGCTTCCTGTAGAGTAAACGGACATCATGTTGTGCGCACTAGCCATGCCACTGGCCATACCACTAAGGCTGAAAGCCATGTTCCTGTCATCTATCACCTTATGAACAGCGTCGGATCCCACCTGACAGACTTAGCACATATACGCAATGTAATCGTCTGACGTACTCTGTGAAATTGGCAATGCGTTGGATCTACCCCGGCCTGTCGACAGTTTGCACAACCAGTGCCATTTCCAGGATCACCGCTGCATCGGATCTTTCTCTTGCGGCACCGTGCGCACTGGATCGTATGTCAGTAAAACTTTGACAAGAAGGGAGGTGGTTGTGTCTGTCGGTCCGGCAGGAACGTATCGACTGATCTCGAAGCACTCATTATCTTACCGCTACAGCAATGCGACGTCTCGCTGGCCCGGTTCCCATCAAAGAATCTTCCATGCTAGCTCGGCTGTGCATACCGCCTATGGGATAACCGCGCGGGTTTTCTCTCGTGCTGTGAGATAGCGCAAGCGGAGCATTACGTTCGTAGGTGTAGTTCGGGTATGATAGGCTGTGAGACAAACAGCGTCTTGAGGTGTCGTACTCCATGACTGACATACTGGCGAATCAATTGTATGTTAGTCTTATGAGATCGAGTTGACTTGAGGGTTCGACTTGCATCACACCGAGAAGCAGAACGACGGTTGTTGACAAACTGCGCTTAGCGATGCCTCGGATAGTGTTCACGAAATGCGATGTTCGAGTCAAGGATGTTTAATAGGCAATGACTGGACCGTGAGCATTGCTCCACGGAAAGGTGTAATCGACCGGTGAGCAGATCAAACGATGATCGGATGGCAGGACTACGTTTATAGCCCAAACGAGTCTCTTGCGTAGTGACACTAGCTTGAGAGATTCGCTCAATGATTGACGTGGCTGGGGCAATGCGGATGATTATCTTCGATCAGAGCATTTAACGCGGAACTGTTTGTACTTTCCACTGACAAGGCCATCCTGCTAGCTCCTCGGACACCTGCATGCATGCATGCGCGATACAGTCACCGCTAGGTGACAGGGGTCTTGAGCATGCGCTTCCAAGAGAGCGTTATCCAAGCGCCGTGGGGAAGAAGACAGGTGAAACATGGTACCGCTTAGGTAGTGTTCTGAACCCGCTCCATAACAAACGCCAGAGCCGACTAGAGACCTATGGAGGCTCAAGGTATGGGCGCTACTTTTCCCATAAGGGATATCCATACGGCTGTGAGGCTTCAGCAAATAGGTCAGTCGGGCAAACGCTGATTTCTCTCCTATTACAAACAGGCCACGTTATCGACTAGGAGTGGCCTTTGGCAAACAGCCGCAAAATGTTTGTAACCTGCGTGGTACTACCGCGGATCCGGGATATGAGGCACGGATTTGATGCTGTAATTCAGCCTGCCCCGACCTATGACGAATAAGCAAGACTCGCAGGGGTATTGAGATCGTTGAATACGCTCGATCTTTGAAGTGCGAACTTCGTAGTGGCAATGTAAGGCTGTCGTTATGGAACGACTGCTATCTACGAGTGTTGATGGTCAGTAGCGCACAAAATATGCATTGGCATGTTTGATCCCATGGACTATATTCTGTTAGTCCAAATAACCGCATTGAGTGCTAATGGTTTGCAATGAAATGTACCTGCAGATGACAGCCACTTTCGTAAGGAAGTTGCTGATGGACCTGAGTCCGAATCAAGTCCACTGCTCAAAACCATAATCACGTCATTTGCCTGCAATCTGTCCAACTCTATGGGTTTGATTATTGGAGATCATGCAGGAAGTACACAACTTCACGGCTAGTTATTCAACGGCCCTGCACACCGGAGAACGTACGCTGCCGCTTGCGTGCCTCATAGCCCCATGGTGAACGGGTATACGGGGAAAGCCAGGGGAGAGTTCCGATGGGTAACATACCTATTCCTGACAAGGCTGACCGATACGGTACTTGTTGACGATGTTCCGGCTTCTAGATCGTTACATCCAAGCCCGATCTTGAGAGACATGCTACATAGCGCTTCTTATAACGATGTTGCGCGTTTAATGAGTCGGATTCCAGACTGCTTAAATTCTGGATCAGCGGGCTTTCGAGACAAGCACGCCCTGGAGTGCCGAGAGCTCTATGGCGCTTCGGCTTTAGAAGTGAGATCCTTCTATGAGCCTACGATGAAAAGGCGCGATCCCTCTTCCGACAAGCCAATGAGCGCAGCATGAAATACGCCAAGGAGCAAGCAAACTTTGATGTACAGTCTCCACAGACGATCTATCATCATAAAGCAGTCTTTGCTGATCAAAGTTTTCAACCTACAGTAAGCAAAGATTTGCACCAGTGGTTACTTGGTGTTGCACAGCTGTGGCAAGTTGAGTTATATCCATGACCTGTGGGAGGTCCGTGGGGCTGGGATGACAGGCCGCTTACAAGGCTCGTGGATCCATCGTCTCTGTGCGTCTATAGACATGGTATGTGCAAGTATACACGAGCGAAGTGTTAAAGGACCGTTTTGATAGTGACGGTGTTACCACACTTGTAATTATCAGCCATGCTGTGTCTCCTCCATGAGATAGGAGAGCTCATGAGAGCTAATGCACAGCGATGACTGTGGAGTTGTTTTGCCGACGAGCCGATGTTATAGCACATGAGTATAGAAACAATGGGTTCACTCACGGATCCGAGCTGTCAGGCTTCGGGTGGTAACAGGTCGAAGCGAGAAGTAGAGGCCCGCTTCCAGAATTCCAGCAACCGACGACGGGGAGCTATGCCTAGTGCACATCTCGACAGACTTTGGCACAAGTGGCAGATGGCTCGTTGGCTGAAGACCCCTGGCATGATGGGGCAGGGGATTTCGGATCGATGTGCAGCAGGCAGTGCAGCGGCTTCCCGAACATTGGACATGGATAGCTGTCAGACACCGGGTAACACTCAACGGCCCGCCTCTTGTAAGTACTTGAAGCTCATTCCAGATGCCCTTGCTATTTCTGGACGAGGCTTGACAGACACGGAAGTCCGCGTCGCTTTTGCGCGTCTCTGATTCGATGTGTCGGAGCAGCGGTGTCTGGTCCAACCCCCACCCTTTTGTGCGGGTGGTGGGGGATGAGAAGTGATGTGGAATGGAGTGCGAGATGACCTGAAGGCTGCTGGGACACGTTGCCCAGAGAGTATTGGTTCCGCAGCTTGCGAGACGTGAAGATGGAGAAAGGCGACAGTACCTGGAGCTAAGCCGGTTCGAGTGTTACGTCATGGTGACTAAGCAGCAAGGCTACGCGGTCTCAGGCGCTGCTGTCGCGCACGCGTTGACGAACATTTGCGACAAACACTTGTTTGCAGCACGACACCACCCAAACCATGTCTGTGCTGCTGGAAACGTCACTCGGCGACATCACCATCGACCTGTTGGTCGACGATGCGCCCAAATGCTGTGAAAAGTAAGTCGGCCCAATCCCTACGCGCGCCTTGGGTTCTTGCACCTGCATGCTGCATGCTCCATCCCGCTGTCTTCCCAAGCTGAGCATACAATAGACACTGACAGTTTGTCGCCTTAGCTTCCTCAAGCTTTGCAAAGTCAAGTACTACAACTTTGCCCCCGTCCATAGCGTCCAACCAAACTTCTCCTTCCAGACTGGCGATCCCATCGGCCCCGGTTCCAAAGACAGTGACGGTGGCCGCTCAATATGGGGCTTGCTCGACCCTGCCCAGCCAGCGAAGAAGACGTTCGTGCCCGAGTTCAGGCCGAAACTCAGGCATGCCGATATGGGGACCGTCAGCATGGCTACCGCGCCCAATCCCGAGGATCCAGACGAGCGCTTCGCTGGGAGCCAGTTCATCATCACCCTGGGACAAAACATCGACTACCTCGACGGCAAAGCTGCCATATTCGGCACAGTCGTAGAGGGGTTTGACACACTGGACAAGATTAACACAGCATATATCGACGATCAGGGACAGCCACTCAAAGACATTCGCATACTACACACCGTCGTCCTCGATGATCCATACGACGACCCCTCGGGCCTCGTCGAGCCACCAGAGAGCCCCGTGCCCTCGGCTGCGCAGCTCGCCACCGTCCGCGTCGCATACGATGAGAACCTCGACGAGGACAATGACCCAGAAGCCTTGGAAAAGGTTCGTAGGGAACGCGAGGCGCGCGCACAAGCACTTACGCTTGAGATGGTTGGCGATCTGCCATTCGCCGAAGTAGCACCCCCTGAGAACGTGCTGTTCGTCTGCAAGCTCAACCCAGTGACGCAAGACGAAGATCTGGAGCTCATCTTTTCGCGATTTGGCAAGATCCTTAGCTGTGAGGTCATTAGAGACAAGCGTACAGGTGATAGTCTGCAGTACGCCTTCATTGAATACACCAACCAGAAGGATTGCGAGCAGGCCTATCTCAAGATGGATGGTGTTCTGATCGACGACCACCGCATACATGTTGACTTCTCCCAGTCCGTTTCAAAGATAGCCGACGATTGGCGGGATGTTACAAATAAGAAGAGGAGGCGGGCTGCTGGCGGTTTTGGTGGTATCGACAATCTCGAGAAGAAAAAGCAGTATCGCGATGGCTCCGGGCGCCAGATCATGTCAGATTCTGTTGTAAACAATCTGGTCGTCGACCGAGATGTTGCACAAGATACTACACAAGGTCCAAAGGACAGCGGCAAGGACAGACGACGGGACGATACACGGAGGCGTGAGAGGAGGGAGGAATACCATGACGACCGCTTCAAGCGGAATCGTAGCCGGAGTCCCAAGCGCGAACGTCGCGATGGCGATGATGGGCGGTACAATGACCGCAGGCGAGAGCGAAGTCGTAGCCCAAATCGCCACCGTGACAGCCGCCGGGACAGGAGTCGAGATCGCTATCGCCGCGATGACCGGGACCGTCGGCGTTGAATCTAGGAGAATCCGCGTAGATTGATGTATCACGAAGCGTAGGTGATCTATTCATATATACGTAATGCGGTTTTGGTGTTTTAAACGAAAATTGGATCGTACTGGTAGGAATGCTCCACATTGAGCTGGCTGTTCCTGATGGGTAAAGCAAGCCATCCTTATTCACCAACGCAGAACACGAGGCTCGGTGCGAAGGAGTACAGCTCCAACTACGTCACATCACTAAGCATCTTGGGTCGTGAATGAGAGATCCTTTGATTCATTTTTGTGTTTTATGATTTCGCGTGGGAAAATGCAATGTATATGTATATGCTCGCTGACCCCAAGTACAAAGACAGAACAACTGCAGTCATTCAAGAAGAAGAACCCGAAATGACCCTCTGTACTAGCTCTGAGGCTTTTGTGTTATCGTTATCGATGCTGCTAGCTAGCAAGTGCATGTAAGAATGCGCTAATAGTTCAGTTAGAGTATGTATTACGTTGATTAAGCACTGATGATAGAGCCGAACGTCATCTTCTACAATAAGGTGATGCTAAGACAAGGGGTGTTCGTTTCCGAGAACAGCTGCGATCTTTATCAATAGTTGATGTGTGACGATCGAGAAACGTCATCAGTCTTTTCATCCTCGTAAAGGTTAAGAAGCTCATCACAACATGACCACCAAGTGGTCTGCATCTCGAGCTCGACGTCTAGCGCCTCAAGTAGACCTTCGGGAGGCAGCTCTGGTTCGAATATCTTTGCGAAGTGTGTCTCGAGCATGCGAATTGCTGAATGCCAAGCACCCATGCCCAGACCTTTTAAGAAGTCACTGGCATCGACGCGACAATGGGGAATCTCGTGGAGTAATTTCGGTATGAAGTCGTAGTCGCTCACGCCTTCGGTGCATGTAGCGATAGCGGCTTGATAGAGGGCAGATTTAGTTGTGTATTTGGCATCCTCGATGTTGCCGGCCTCAACCAGAGCCGCTGCATAGATCTCACGGTAGTGATGGTAGTTCCATGCCATATATGGCGAGACCTCCAGTCTGGATTCCCACTCTGGGAACCAATCGTTGCGTAGAAACCTTGGAACGGCTGAAGCACCGACGCAGCGTGGTGCAGACATGGCATTGTCCCAATCGATGATGCCGGTTACATTGCCTTCTTCATCGACAAGAATGTTTTGCAGATCAAGATCGTTATGATGGATAGTAAAAGTTTCGCCGGCCGGTCCATGGAAAGCAGGTTGAGAAAAGACCAGGTTGAGGATGGTTCGGATACCAAGGTTTTCAAGGAGGCCGTCCAAATCACCGAGCTCGTGCTGCTCATCCAAATGTTTCACCTTGGATTTCATTCGAGCCTGGAGATACTCCTGAGTAGTCGCCGCTGGTTGACGTTTGAATGAAACATCGGACGCGCCCTTGAAATGACATGTAGGGCCAGTGCCAGTAAGTCTCCCATCGTTATCAAAGGCAGGCACTCCAATGCCATCAAACTCAAGGCTTTGGATACGTGTCATTACCTTCGCTAATGAGCGTAGAAATGCAACGCGCCTTTTCTCGATGTAGGGAGGGGGGACGTCCGCATCACGGAAGACATCGTCGTCCCCTACAAAAGGGTATCCTTCCGGAAACCAGAGCGTGTAAGCAGGCTTACCGGGCAGCATCGTCATCACAATGTGAGGGAAGCCAAGCGCATTTTCGTGGCCAGTAGCATAGTCGATAACCTGTGCGACGGGCGCGGCAGTGTTCTTGCGAATGTACTCAATGAGTTGGGCCTCGCGCTCTAACACGTATGCATCTTCATCTGTCCAGTGTTCAAGTGTTCCGTGACCAGGCACGCGGACCACGAATTTATGGGTTTTTCCACCGTCGAGGACATCGACAAAAGTTGCCGCATTGTATGCACCTTTGTCGCGACGCACTACAGCTACACAATCGGCGGAAGGGAACAGGTTGCATGCCTTGAAGAGCTCATGGTACTTCGCATCGGAAATGGCTGCAATAGTCTGGAAGTCACAACGTGGGTGGGAGCCATCACCTTCCTCTTCATCTTCTTCGTCGTCGTCGTCGTCTGAATCAGTATCCACGGTTTCGCACTGGTCGACTGGCTCATTGATTGCGGGTGGCGCATCTTCATCAACGGCGGAGCCATATCTACTGGAATTGCGACCAAAACGGAGCAATCGTGGGAGGATTAAATTCTTGTAAGTAGCCTTGAGATGTCGACACAAACCATCTTTCATCCCTTTCTTGACATAGAGCTGCTCTGGCACCGCAGGAATTTCCTCTTCAGGTTGGTCTAAAGATTTGGTGTTGTTCCAAGACGTGGCGAATTCCATTGAGGATACTGAAAGACCGCTTGGTTCCTGAATAGGTGCTCGTCCTGTATCCAGGTGGGACCTAGAAGGAGAGATGCCAGGCACGTAGAACGTCTCGCCACAATCGAGAACCAGGAGAGAACTTTCAGTTAGTAACGTAGAGCTTGAAGACTTTTGACATAGCGAACCCGCGTCACAGTTGTCTAAGTTCTGGTTGGATGTTGTGGCAGTCGATGCGTTGCTTGATGGGCGGTTTGCTGAGGTGGACCGATTTATCGGCGAAGTCTGTCGACAAGGTTTGCTGGCCAGGGTGACGGAAAGGTTGTAGTAGAGGTTCTTGCCGGCAGTAACTACCTTTTCGAATGAGTTGCGTTGAATAGTACGGGTTGACGCGGAAGGCTTGGGTTCGGAAGACAAGCCAGTAGTTGCGGCATTTAGGCGCTTCTTGTTCTTGAGACCAAACATCATTGTGCGACTCAAAGTTTGATCGTTGCTGTTTCCAAAGTTGAGTTCTCAACGTCAGACAAAGAGTGGAAGAAGATAAAGGCGCAGTGTGGAAGAATCTTATAGCAAGAAAGGCACAGGCACACTGAGTGAATATATTATTTCAAGGCCGCTCTTCCTTTGAGGTCAGTGCTCAAAAGATGAGTTGCACCGCACGTAATGCAAAACTATGAGTGAAGAAGAGCTGATACGCTAAGCCTGAGCAGCTACCTGGACTTCTACGGTCGTTATCGGAGCTTTTTCACAAAGACAACACTCAATATAATTTCCTCAGCATGAAGTGGAACAACATTGTGTAGCTTCTACGTTATGCTTACGGTAGGTTCCCGTTTGGTTTATCGTTCACGTCCACCGTGTAGTCCCACGTCCTGCGAGGCGAAGCAGAGAATTGACATGATACCAAGCAACAGTCCCAATGAGGCCTTTTGTATGTCATGAAACCGACAGCCTAGATACAGAAACAGAGACAGGCGTGAAAAAAACTCTTACATGCAATGGTTTTTCACACATAGCCAAGTATGAATATGTCGGTATTAGTATGGGGCTTTCCGTCTCTTGCGGTCCTTGTGAATCACGTACAGTGCTCTCGAAAAGTACACGAGCCTTACCATGAATGACTGTCACGGCTCTTGTCGAGCTGCTGTAATTCACCCCTTGCGCCTCACAGTATATCAAAGGCCCTCAGCGCCCTACCAGACAGGACCGGCATAGACCTCGCTCCACTGGCTTCTCGACCTCTCCACCGAGAATCAAAACTAACTTCCTGACAACGTACACATACTTAGAGTGTTTGCATCCGCAACCCATCGACGCCCTCACCTAACCTTCCAATTTCCGACACTCCGAGTTACATCAGTCATAAGGACGGATACTGGCCCATCGTGCTCTCAACTACAACACATAGCCACTCATCGTACTATTCATAGCAAAGTTCAGCTACTAGACGACACAGAGACAGCCTAAGATGCCTAGCTTCAACAGAACCAAAAGCAAGTTGACCTCAGGAGACCACAAGGGTGACAAGAAAGCAAAGTCGATTCCTCTTCGACTCACCTTCATGGAGCAACCGCAACCCGACGACTATGTAATCCGCAATCTCGACGACCTCTACTCCAAGACCGTCCGTGTCTGGAAGGGCGGTGACTGGAATGACAATGTGATGAACGGTGCCACAGGCGTTTCGTTCGAATCGTCCCACCACGTGCCAGAGGGAGGTGCCAAAAGTCGGAAGGCTTTCCGGGACGGTATCTTTGGATTTTGCCTGGAGTGGGTATACGTGAATCATGAGGGAAAGTCGCATCGTGTCCGCTGTATGAACTCTTTTTCTGTAAAGTCGCCACAGTGTACCGAACATCCAAGGGCGGTTTTCAAAGATGGTCCGAACAGAGTTTACGATCTTATGAACTGGGGTAAGACGGTCACCTGGGATATGATCAAAGATGCCAACGCCGAAAAAGTTCCGTTGACAGACACTCAACTCAAGACAAGAGCCTTGGATGAACTGAAAAACATCGAAGCTAGAATCAGTGAGACTTCCCAGAGCGGCAATAATGTCAAAGAGCTGGTGAGTATGTATTCTGCCTTACAGAAAGCGATCAGTAACAGAGAGTACTTACTTTGGGACCGGTCAAACGCGAGCGATGCCATTTCCCCAATCCCTGTGTCCGGCGCTATCTACAGCTCCCGGAAGACTGCCAGCAATTCAGCGCCAGGTAATGCAGCCCTCGACGACAAAGCTAAGCGCAATCCGAATGATAAGAAGAACAAGGGGAAGACGAAATACACCAGAGGCCTTACCCAAAACCTTGAAGGAATCGAGGAATAGACGCGATACCTAATCTTTCTTGGTTTCTCTTCCTGTCTTACATTGAACGATAGTATGGCAGGCACATGTTTCAATGGTCTTTTGCAGAATTGTTGTTTTGGATGATAACATATGAGAATACTTTACTATGTCTTTCTGGATCGTGATGCGTGACGGTGGCGCACAAAGTGACGAACAGTGACAAGCATGAGCCGCTGGACGCAACGTGATAGAGCGCGATCTGGCGTGTGCAAGTGAACGAGGCTGAAGTTCAAGGAGTGGCAAAGGTGCTTGAGAGGAGGTGCGCACATATAGCAGATCGCCGCCGCTATATTCCTCGCGCTCTTAAATATGTGCGTACCGTCATACAATGATCTGGACAAGTAAGAGAAGAGCATAGGATGCGCTGCGGGGATGCAACCGGTAACAGCTTAACGCGTGCCAATGGCTGCCGCAAAGGTGAGCTTCATCTCGTTAAGTCACTGGAGGCGAGCGTGCTTGTGCATTTGCGTAGTATATTTGTAAAGGATGTGTAGCAATTAGAAGTCTGGAAAGACTGTTGGGCAGCGCAACAAGGCGCGACGGGACTGAGCCCGCATCATAAATGCATCCGTGTGGAAACATACATCCGATGCAACAAAACCCTATCAGTTTGTTTTCTTGACACCTAAGTATTCGACGAGCGCTTTGTTGCAAGTGACTGACGTTGCGCTCAAGCGTCTGAGTTAACAAGGGCATATATTACACACTATGTGCGATGGGCAAAAATTGGAAAAGACACCAAAGCGTTGGACTTTAGGGTCAGACAGAACAGGTTCAAGACATTGTTGGTATTAGATTTCTTTGCAAAAGTGTTCCTCAAGTTTTCCTAGATTGATAACAGTAATAAATGGGTTGTTTATCTCTCGAAAGAAGAAGCGCATTCCACACAATCTGTCAAACGCATCGTTGAAAACGTTACCTGTCTCCTGTAAACCCAGCCACACGAAATCATGGGCTTGGAAGATGGAGTAAGCTCAGAAACAGTACTATACGGATGGCACAATTAAAACGAAGTCCATTGAATACCGAATTGTACGTCGATATTATATTACGTTGTGCCATTAGAACTCCCATCCACTTTCGTGTACGCCGTGAAGTAGAAGCAAAAACGCCGCATACCTGCATCCTACGTCGATATATATCCCCCTAAGAAAAGGCAGTCTTGATCTTTGAGATCGGGTATCAAAATGTGAAAGTATGCGTTCGTGCGTCTAAATATGCGGGAGACAGATGCTTGCGCAACGTCGTAGTGAAAGGCAGGTATCTGAAAGGGGAATATTGAGACTTGGAACCGAGACCATGAAGGATCATACAAAAGGGAAAACAGGAGAAAACCTGTCCGTTCTGGAGAATACACTAGCCCATACCGAACAGGTACTTGAGCTCATTCAAGTTGAGACGAGTCAGACTTTTTGATGCCTTCTCGTCAAGAGCGGCATTGATCTCATCACGCTTCCTGTCTTGGATGGCGACGATACGGTCCTCAACGGTCTCAGGCACGATAATGCGATGTACATGGACCTCGCGCTTCTGAGGCATGCGGTGAGCACGATCAACAGCCTGCTCTTCGATGAATGGATTCCAGAAAGGATCCAGTATAATCACTCGCGATGCCTTCCAAAGATTGAGGCCAGCGTTGCCAGCTTTCAGGGAAACCAACATGACATTCTCGTTTGGATCGTCCATGAAAGCGTTGACAGCATCGGCACGTTCGTCCATCTTCATGCTGCCATCGTAGCGTCGATATGTGATTTTCTCACGGTACAAAGGAACTTCGACAAGGTCCAGCAAGGACGTGAACTGAGAGAAGACCAGCGTCTTTTCGGTCGCATCGTTCTTCTTGATTTCCTTGATCAGTTCAACAGTCCTGCTGATCTTCGCAGACGTGATGTAGGTCTTGTCCAGACGACGCAGGTAGCGTTTCTTGGCGCTCTTGTTGCGGAGCGACTCCTTCTTGAGTTGAGCAAGAGTCTGCTTGGGCTTGGCGCGTGCCTTACCCTTACCCTTGCTACGTTTGTTCGACTTCTTACCTTCGGGCTTCACCTTGATCTCGGGTGCGGAGCCAACATTATCGTCGTCGTCCGCCTCGTCGGCTGCGTACTCATATTCATCATCATCGACAATGAAACCAGCTAGGTTACCCTTCTTGTCAATATCTGGTGCGCCATCTTCGTCCTCAGAGTCGGAGTCAGAGTCTTCGTCCTCGACCACGGCCTCCTCTTCTTCAGATAGGTCGGCCGACCCAAGACGGTCAGGACAGTGGACTTTGCAGAAATGCTTGTAGTCCGTTATGAGCTTAGCCTTTAGCTCGCCGCGACAGTGCGGACACCTGGGCGTGCTGGTCTCATCGTTGCCATCCTGTGCAGCACGCAGTGCTGGATCGATGAGCTTCTGGACACACTCACCACAAACCGTATGTCCACACGGAATGATGATGGTCGGATTTGGATCAGCTTCGAGACAAATTGGGCACTCGAACGTATCGTTTGCCTTCAGCCGCACGATGACATCATCATTCAACTCTTCAGCACGGATCAAGAGGTCGTCTTCGGCAATACCCTCAGTCGCCGGCTGGCTGAGGTCCTTGATCAGATGAGGATGGCAACATGCTTGGCGGAGACGAAGCAGTAGAACCAGAACATTAGCGTAGTTGGCTGTGACAGTACCCTTCTGCAGGTATTTGTTCATCTGAAGCTGCGACTTGGTTTCGAGAGCCTTATACAGAGCATATTCTTCGTCTTCAAACTCCACATTATCAATAACGGAGTGCTTAGGTGGGATCTTAGAGATGGGCTCCCCATCGACAACGGTGGTTTTCTGACGTCGGAGCATGATGGCCTTGATCAAGATTTGGATGCGATCAAGCGCGCGCTTCTTGGTGTGCTCGTTGGTGGTCTTCATGGGCTACCATTCGTCAGCGAAGTACGATACTATAGATCGTCCTACTCTACACTTACTTTGGCAATCTCGAGACTGAATTTGTTCCACGTACAATACGGCTCCGCCTTCAAGAACCGGAGGAGCGGGTAAAGCTCATCAACGCTATTCATCATAGGCGTACCTGTCATGCACAGGCGGTGTTTAGCCATGAGATCAGCGCAAGCCTTGGAGGACTTGGAGTTTCGGTTTTTGATGTTGTGGGACTCGTCAATGATGATACGATACCACATGCACTCTGGTCCCATTAGCGCAAGCCTGTCTTTGGCTTTGCGACGCATGCTAGGATTACGCAGCTCTTGGTCGTTGAGAATGGCCTCCTTCGAAGACTCCCTCTGCTTGTACTCCGAGGTGAGAGATCCGAACGTGGTCAAGACAACATCGTGTTGACGGAGCCGAGCGAAATCGGCGTTTTTACCGCTGCCATGGTACAGATGAACACTAAGCCTATGACGAGGATGGACATGGCGTTCAATTTCTTTCTCCCACTGTCGCATAAGAGCAACAGGTGCAATAATGAGTGTTGTCTTGCAAGCCAGGTCAGTGGATGGGTTCGCACAGATAAGAGCCAGAGCTTGTATTGTCTTGCCCAAACCCATCTCGTCTGCTAAGATGCCGCCTTTGGTCGAGCCTCGCTCTTTCTTGAGCAGCCATGTGAGACCGATACGCTGATACTCCTTCAGGATGCAAGTCATATTCTTCGGTGTGGGCTCTCGATCTTTGATGTTCTCACCATCATCCTTAATATTCTCGAAAAGCTTTTCTATCGCGGCCGCCTCGTCAACATTGAGAGGGAAACTGCCATAGTTGTCCTCGTCACTATCTCTCCCTCGCAAAGAAGGATATGGGTAGCCTGCTCCGGCACGTTGTTGTTGATGATGAGTGACTGGTTGCTGGAATCCGTAACCGCTGCCTGGTGCACTCGGAGCGATCAGAAACTCAGCAAGTTCTTCTGGAGCCATGAATTCCTGGTTGAATGCATCAGCGGGTGACATGACGCCATGATCATGCCCTCCTTGATAAGCGTTCAACTCTGGGAATGGTTCATAGAACTGATACTGAATGGGATCGGACTGCGCATACGCACGAGCAGGGAGCTCAAATCCTTCAGGCGAAGGTGGGTCAGATTCAGTCAGGTCAACAAAGGGTATAGACTCGGACTGATGGTGAGAAAAGGACTGCCGACTCGGAAGCGACTGTGACCAAGGGCCCACGGGCGAAGTTGGAGTTACCGGACTTGGCTGCCCACTGACACGTTTAGCCTCAGGAAAGTCAGATAACCCAAGGCTTCGTTTCCGGCTCTGTTTTAGAGAAGGCAGAGGCGTTGAAGGTACCTGCAAGCCGTATGGAGCACCATTACTATATGATGGGCCGCTGTGGTAGTTTGTGGGGTCGTGTTGTTGGCCCTGTTCCCAGACACCGTTATCGCTGTTGCCATTGTTGGACTGGAAAGCTCTGGCCATGGCTTCAGCATCGGCTTCGCTTTGCCGCTGCTCATTTGATAGCCTCTGGTACAACTCCATCAGCATGTTCTCGTAGACTGGCTTGTCATTGGCGTCCACGTTGGGAAGAACGGTGTTGATGAGCTCGATGTGCTCTTGAATATTCATGGCCTCCTGCGACGCCATCTTGATCCAGCAAGGAATTGCCGTGGTGAAGTACCCAAGCAATAGGGGGTGGTTGTAGCGAAGGGCGTTGGTGGTGGTGGTGGTGGTGGGGGTTGTGTCGCAAGGAGTGCGGCGCAGGCGGTTTTACGGCGGAAGGGCGTGAGGAGTGCTGCGGTGAGGTGAAAGTGAATAGTGAGCGTGAGGCCCAGATATCAGGCTGCCGTGCCGGTCCAGCTGGGAGGGAAAGAGCTGTCGAGGCAGTTACGGTGGCGGGCGCGACGCGTTGCGCGGGCCTTCTACCAGATTTACGATGAAGCGGGAAGCGACGAAGGTGGTGAAATCGAACAACAAGTTGGACAAAGAGGTGAATAAACGCAAAGTGAAGAGAAGCGAACAAGGCGCTCCCGTCCTACCGTACTGGGGCCATGATAGCCTTACGCAGTGGGGGGTGGGTTGCAAGTCGACGACGACTGGAGATAATGCGACAGGCACTGCGCTGCGCAGTCCGACTTGTCGCGTCCCCCATGATTACCGAGAGGGCTGTCTTTGCTAGGCCAAACGTGATGTCATCAGATACAATCAAATCTAATGGAGCCATGCATCAGGCGAAAATGTGCAAACCAACGGTACACAGGGCGCGAAAAAAAGCCTCCTGCGCAGCTGCTGAGTTGGCAACGAGGCTGAAAGCTGAAGGACTTTTGTTCTGCTTCGCTCCGGTGAAGCAGACATGTCTACAGGCAGCTTGGCGTGCATTCATGTACGGCGACGTCAACCGAGGCGCGCGAGAGACGCGAAAATAATCCTCCTCTAGCTGCATGCAGCGGATTCTTGGTCTACCCTAGTCAAGTATGATAAAACAGAGCGTATTCGTTGCGATCAGTAATTGTTCACGCCATGCCCCCAAACTAACTTTTGCGGGCGATAACATCGAGTCTTACACCCGCGCCTCGTAAAAAGCAAGTATAGCATCGCGACATTCTAGTTTCCTGCAACGAGCGCAATTCAGGTATATATCACAACAGCCATATAACCCGTACAAGTAAGCCTACTCTGGTCACTCAGGCAGTCGCATAATCACAAGACTTGCAAAGAGGACAGCGAGTGCCCCCAAAATGCATGCATCCCTTTCAAGGCGTGCGGCTGAATCCCGCTTGGCCCCGCCATAGCCCTCACTCATCAGCGAATCTAGTCCTTCCTATTGCAGCGGCAAATTTTCTTCAGAATTGCAAGAGCGACTTGAGCACCGCCAAAATAGATTCAGTCCTTGGTAAAGCGAAGGTATCCAGTACACACAAAAATGCACGCCAATCAGACCGCCATTTAAACCCAGAGGAACAGAACGCCCAAGATATGCAAAAGAGGTTTGCGCAAAAGCATGCAATAACAAGAGTGGTAGGGAAGAGGTGATACTCCAGACCAGAACAACAACAAGGACAAGTAGAACGCCAATACTCGCTATCCAATCCGACCGTGCCCAGTCCCCATCCTTCCGCCTAAGAGCCATCGCTTCGATTGGAGATTGTGGATATTCGGTAATGATTCGACAGCCGGCTAAAACAGTTCTTTCGGTATGTCGACGACGAGGACGACGATGATTGGTGGCCAGGCTTCTAATCAAGCCTTCTCCTCTTCCTTGAAAGGTCACAAACTCAGCTACTATGACTCCGCAGCAAAAGCTACAACACACACATATTAGGGTCAATTTACTCACAAACTAGCGGACAAGGAACGTACTCTCTCGACACTGCCATTATCCGTCTGATCCACCGCCAGAAGATTTGGGCTCTGTGCCCCACCACCTCGTTCTGTGAAGCCTCGTGTATCGAGCTGTGGGCGCTTCTTGCCGGGACTAGGCAGTCCCCCAGATGATGATGACGCGCCTCCATTGTCGTTACCCTTTGCAGGAAGAGCAATGTTGGGGAGGTGGGATGACGCTGTGTAGCGTGGCTCGCTGGAATGGTCGTACATTGTACTGCCGACTGTGGCGCACCGGAGGATTGTTTGGATGAGTTGGTTTTGGCGTAGAGGTTTGGAAAGGTAGTCCTGAGAGCTAATTTAGTAGTGGAAAAACGTAATGGAATAGTAGTAACGTACGTCCATCTGTGCAGCGAGACACTTCTCGCGATCGCCAACCATGGCGTGCGCCGTCAGTGCAATGACTGGTGTTGAAGGAATGCCGTTGTCGCGTTCCCATTCACGGATCTTCGCCGTGGCTTCGAAACCACCCTAAAATGTTTTTAGCTGTGAACCTCGAGTTAGCGAGAGCCTAGCTTACCATGACTGGCATTTGCACATCCATAAGTACGCAATCGTAACGCTTCTTTTGAATGTGTTCAAAGGCCTCAAGACCGTTGTTAGCTACAGTGACTCTGTGATGATACTTCTCCAGAATCCTGACGGCAAGCTTCTGATTGACAGCATTGTCTTCGGCCAGAAGAATCTGGAACGATTTGGAATGGTCTGAGACCAGAGGTGCGGCACGGCCATCAAGTGCCGGAATGAGCGCATTGCCCAAGTCGATTGGTAGACAGGGCGTCGTCATATAGCTCGAGATACCGTTTTCTAGCGCAGACCTGAGGCTGATGCATACGTGTGGCGTGAGCATGACGAGAGGAATGTACTTGAAGCGTTCCGCAATCCTAAGCTCCCGTGCCGTCTTGTCATTGTCGACAATGACGCAGTCGTACGGCATGTCAGTCCTCTTCGTCGTCTCGGGTACCTCCTCAACCGAGTGAACCACCATAGGCACAAGATCGAGTGTCTTAAGGTGCTCGATAATTTGATCCGAGAACCCAGTGTTGCCTTGGTCGACAAAGAGAACCGTGTGCTGCTTGTATGCCACGAGCTGAGGCTGAATGGCTTGAATTGCCGGCTTGCCGAGACGCACTTTGCATGTAAAGTAGAACACACTGCCCTTGCCAACGTCTGATTCGACCCACATGCGACCACCCATGAGAGTGACGAGACGTTTGGAGATAGACAGACCGAGTCCAGTGCCTCCAAACTTTCTTGTTGTCGAGCCGTCCGCCTGCTGGAAGGTGTCAAAAATAAGATTGAGCTTATCGCCACGGATACCTATTCCGGTGTCGGAAACGGCAAATTGGAACACATAGTGATCTGGGTCGCATTCTTGTTCTTGCGCCATGGATATAGCCACCTTGACTTCTCCGAGCTCAGTAAACTTGATAGCGTTACCAACCAGGTTGAGAATGATCTGCCTCAACCTGAAGGAATCACCAACAACGTAGTCGGGCACCTTGTAAGAGACGTCGTAAGCAAGGTTCAACTTCCGCTCGTTGGCTCTTGATGCTAATGACTTGAGTGCGTTGAATATAGTGCCGCGCATTGAGAATGGAATCTCTTCCATTACCATGCGGTTCGCCTCGATCTTGGAGATATCAAGGATATCGTCGATGATTGTCAGTAATTGACCAGCCAGATTATGAACAATGGTCAACATCTCTCGTTGCGCATGCGTAAGGTCGGTGTCGAGCGTAAGTTGGGTCATTCCAATGATACCGTTCATGGGCGTTCGGATCTCGTGAGACATATTGGCGAGGAACTCGGATTTTGTTTTGTTGGCCAACTCGGCTGCTTCCCTCGCAGCCGTGTTTCTTTGAATACTCTCTCGCAAACTGGACACCATCTGGTTGATCTTCCTCTTCAATTCATCCATCTCACCAGAAGCCTCGACGGTGATTTGAGTGAACTTGCCCTCCATTGCAGCGTTGGTGATGTCACCGAAAGCACGCACTTGTGACGTAAGGTTCTGGGCCATGGTGTTGACGTCTGTGGTGATTTCTTTCCATCGGCCGTCGATATCTCTCACGTCTGCTTGACCGCCCATCTTTCCGTCTACGCCTACATCGCGAGCTACACGCTTCACAGCTAGAGACCATTCGTCGAGTCTCATAACCATGTCGTTGACGGTGTCTTTGAGTAATCGGATCTCTCCCTCGGCGTCCACGTGAACTCTGCGGCTCATGTCTCCCTTGGCGATGGCCTGGGTGACCTCGGAAATACTTCGTACTTGCAGCGTGAGATTCTGAGCCATAGTGTTGACATTGTTGGTCAGATCCTTCCACTTGCCCTCAACGTTGTCGACCTGTGCTTGACCGCCCAGAATACCGTCGGTTCCGACCTCACGGGCGACCTTGCTAACCTCTTGTGCAAACGTGTTCAAGCGGTCCACCATGGTGTTGATGGTAATCTTAAGTGACAAAATCTCACCCTGAACTTCTGCCTTGACCTTCCTGCTGAGATCTCCTCTTGCGACGGCTGTAGTGACTTCGGCGATTTCTCGCACTTGTGTTGTGAGGTTCATGGCCATACCGTTCACATTCTCAGTGAGATCTTTCCAGGTACCCTCAACGCCATGCACTGTAGCCTGTCCACCAAGTCGACCCTCAGATCCGACTTCTCGCGCAATCTTGGTGACTTCGTGAGCAAACTGCTGCAGCTGGTCCACCATGCGATTGATTGTGTTCTTGAGTTCCAAGATTTCACCCTTGCATTCGGCTTCGACCTTCCGTGTGAGGTTACCCTGTGCGACGGCCGTTGTGACCTGGGCGATGTCTCGCACCTGGGTGGTGAGGTTTTGAGCCATGGCGTTCACATTCACTGTCAATTCGTTCCACATGCCCTTGACGCCAGCAATCTCAGCCTGACCACCAAGCTTGCCTTCAGTTCCGACATCTCTAGCGACTTTGGTGACCTGGGTAGCAAATGATTGCAGTTGATCCACCATGCTGTTGATCGTCTGTTGCAGCTGCAAGATTTCTCCTCGGGCCGGACGCTCAATCTTACGACTGAGATCGCCCATAGCGACAGCGGTTGTGACTACGGCGATCTCTCGCACCTGGTCGGTAAGATTCTTGGCCATCCCGTTAACTGCAGGACACGTTAGCATCGGCCCGATAGTGGAACCCTAATCACAACGTACCACTGTCAGTCAGCTCAGCCCAAATACCAGCAACTCCTGGTAGGTTGGCTTGACCGCCCAATCTGCCTTCGGTACCGACCTCTCGAGCGAGGAACGTGACTTGACTGGCAAACTCCTGGAGCTGGTCCACCATGGTGTTGATCGTGCGCTTAAACAGGGTGATTTCAGGGTCCATCTCCTTAGCATGAATCAAGACCTTCTTGCTCAAGTCACCCATAGCGACTGCAGTGACGATGGCACCGATTTCCCGCAGTGCCTTTTGGAAAGCCAGGTTGGCTGTGAAATGTCAGCCACAACGTTGCCTTTTCAAGACTATAGAGCATACCCTGTTGATGCTTGCCGAGTTCCCTTTTCAGTGCGCCGATGTCCTCAATGCCATGTTCGAATACCATGCTCTGTGTCGTTAGTTGCTTATTCACTTCCTGGCTTAGGTTGTCTGTTGTCTGTCAGCCTGGGCGCATGCAGAGGTCTTCTGTGGGCTCCCACCAATGTGCTCGCGCTGGTTTCTAATCTGGTCGGCCTGCTGGTTCAAGTGCACTCGCAGGTAGTTGAGCTGCTCTTCGGTAAGGGCTGCCGCGGGCTGTTCTGGGTCGCCATTCGACTCCTTGGCGGCGAGCCAGTTGGAGACCCAGATGGCGCGCTCCTTGTTGGATCCACGGCGTCCTTGGGCGGGTGGGCCGCTATTGCCGCGGAAGACTCCTGCTGGAGTATATAACGCGCCCTCCTCGGGCGGCTCTTGTGCGGGTGTCAGAGGGAACTGGCCCTGCTGGTTTGGAGCATGGCTGCTCTTGTGCTCGAGAAAGTCTATTCTTGAGCATAGCGCCGACAGCTCCTGCTCTAGTTGCGTCTTCTCCTCGCTCTCCGGGCCTGGCAGCGCGATGGCATTTGCAGCCGTCTTGGCTCCGTTGGCAGAAACTTGTGCGCTGAAACTGGGGTCTCGCGTAGGGTCGTGTTGGCGGGCGAGGTTGCGGATGATGGCTGAGACGCTCGAGTACGTCTCTGCGGCCATTGTGGCGGCGGGTGGAAGGGTGAAAGGCTCGAAGGGCTGCTATGTGCGCATCTGGAACGGGCAAGATGGACAGGAATGCGACAGAGCGGGTATCGATGGGAGAGAGGGCGGAAAGGGACAAAGGAGGGACTGAAGAGCCTTTCGGGGCAGACGACTGCGAGGATACTGATGGATCGCGAGATGAACTTGGGAGGTATCGAAGAAGCGCAAGCAGGGGACGCCCCGCTAGGATGGATATCCAGTATCGCTCAATCAAGGTTAGCGTCGAAGTTAGCAGCTAGGCAGCGTGAAGAATAACCGCAAGCCACAAAGCGCACGAGTCCGCGGGGACAGACAGAAACTGCGTGAGGAGGGAAAGAGCAAAGACAGCCCGACCAAGCGTGCTACGATATGCTGCCTCACTCTCCCAAAGGATTGCCCGAATTGCTGCCGGGTTGGGAAAGCAGACTGGAGGCAGAATGACAGATGTAACGCTAGGCCGAGAGCAATCTAGTCAGCCCTGGTGGAGTGGATCCGTGCACGTTGGACCTTGGAAAACGGACATCTCGGACCACAGCAACCAACGGCCGCTTGCTGAACCTCCCACCACGGAACCAGCACTCTCAGCAAAGCGAGACTTGACACCGCACACCGCCGACGTCATTCTCCCTGCCCAGCCCTTCGCCGACACCGCGAAATGAAGTGCGACCATGCATCCAGCATCCGCGTGCCATCTCTTAGCACGTACGGGTATACGAACAGAGCGACGAATGGCAGTGCGACCGAAGCCACCCAGCACCCACCAGTGTGGCAAATTACCCCTATTCGCTGGGAACGGCGGGCGGAAAAGGCATCGCCTAGCACAGCAGCGCACTCGGGATACGTTGGACTTCAACGCCCTCGCTGAAGTGTGAAATGCGCCTCTAATCTAACTACGGCTTGACTGCGCTGCTCTCCTGTTTGATCTGCATGCCACAGCGCATGTCGTACTCCTGCCGTGGTTTCAGTGCCATCGATCGCAATATGAGACGACGTGGCGGTACATCTCAGATCTTATCGTGCCATGCTGACAGCTGACAGAGGAGCTCTTTGATGGTGGGCACGGTGGGGTACACTTGTTCGCAAAAGAGTCGCTTCGCTCAGGGTCCCTCCCGGCCGTCCGGCTGATAGTGGTAAGCGTGTTTGGGCGGAAGCCGGCACATGCTTGGTAACACGCGAGGACGTGTTTTCTAGACGGCTTCCTGGCTTTTCCGGCTTTGACTCGCCGTTGCATGAATTCTATCAAGATTGGGGAACCCGGTCGGCACATCCGAACATTCCCCGGCTAGTAGACTCGGGAACGAAATTCATCCTCACATCGGACTACTAGATCCGCAAAACTGCACCAAGCTGAGTGCAGATTGATCAAATCGAGAGTCAGGTACTGGCAAGATCCGCAGAACTTGTTCGCTTTCTCCATTAATGCGGAATCTAAAACACTCTTGTGGCTTTAACACGGTTAGTGAAATCACCAAACTAGTATACGACTATATCAGCATCCGCCCATCCAAGGTTCCCTCGTCGTCTCAGGAATGTATGCTACGATGGGACCAAAGAGTTTGCGCTAATGCGTGCCTTGTGGGTATTTTCATTCCCCTGTTTAAACACGGTAACAAGGTATAAGACAGTATGTCTCTGGCTGTAGTATCCTATATAACTTTCTCAAACTGAGCATTCATGTACAACCCTCTCACGTCTCTAGTAGTCTAAGGGCGCCTCAGGTGTCGACGGCTGAAAATTACTCCCCATTCCTGTCCCCAATCCCAACGAACCCATGCGCCACTGAGAGTATGTATCGAATCCCTCATGCATCCTTGGTAGACCTGGTATGCTCCTTTCGCTGGATCGCCTGCCAAACATGTTCCTCCTTGGGTGGTTGCTGTTCACCTTGGTTTTTATCGGAAGGGTGAAGAGCTGTGCACGGCACATGGGACATGTTGATGATCCTGATTCAACCCATTCCGTCATGCAGGGTGTGTGGAAGATGTGACCGCATTGAGTGACCTGGGAAGCGGGATCCTCGCGTGTGTAGTGCTCGAGGCATATGGAGCAGCTGGCTTCGGTGTTGTTGAGCGCACATGTCGCAAGCGAGCTTAGACCGCTTGTAAGGAAGGATGATTTCGAAGTGTAAGGTGCGTTCGATGACGAAGCTACGCCTGTAGCTGCGGGCGTGCGAAATGGCATGGCCATCTTCCTGGTGAAGGCAAAGATTTGTGGTTTTGAGAACTTGAAGTATTGAAAATCCAGGGTCTTGAGACTTCGCAATAGGATTTTTTGTGGTAGCAGGAGTCTTGTTGTGGTAAGAGCTTTGTGGTAAGAGTCTTGCGGTGATGAAAGTCTTCTGTTAGCCCGTGGAGTTTTGTGGTGATGCGATTGCGAATTAAGAATGTTGTGAGGGAAGTCTGGGAGAGAGAGGAACAATGGCTCTCTTTTCATCGAGGAGGATTTGTGTTGGACCCTGATAACAATATTTTGGGGTGGTTCCGTGGACCAAGGAACGATGATCAGGCGAACCACAGGTGATATAAGACAAATAGTTCACAAAATCTGGGCTTCCCGGAGAGCGATGGTATTGCAGAACGGATAAGCAGTGTGACAAGAGATACGACTTGCTACCTAAGCTTCTTAGCATGGGCAACCAGGCTCTCAATAACTTGCTCAAAAGCATCCTTGTCTCCCAGTGCGCTCTCCAATCTCTTCTGCCAGTACTCAAATACCTCCTTTGCTCTTTCTTGCAGTCCCTTTAAGTGATCAATGTGCATCTTCAGCTCATCGTCCGTCAGCCCTTGCAGCGCTGCATCTGTCGTCGCGCATAGTTGCATGGTGCTGCTAATGTCCAGTTCTGGAGGCGGCGGTGGACCTTTACGTTTTCGCTCTGGTTTTGAACTTGACGAGTCGATAGACGTAGATGATTCGTTCTCGCGCTTGACTCGTCCCAATGGCCCGCCATTGTTCCGACCGTCGGACGAGGGGCGGGGCGACCGATCCCCGGGTATATGTATTGAAGGGAGAATGAGCTTTTTCTGTTTCGAGGCGGGGAGTATTTCGTCCAGATCCACAGGTACACCTAATGAGACCAAGAACAGTCGCCGTATACGCGAACGAACCCAGTCGGGAGGCTGTAATGGTGGCGGTGCAACCAGTTGCGTCCATAACGAGTGGCTGCGTTCCGAGAGGAATATGGAACGGGTCTCGTCGGGATTGGCCGATATTGTGGGTATGTCATTCTGTACAGGGTACATGTCATCTAGGTAGGGCTGTGTTGCTGTGACGATTTCTTCAAGTGATGTGAGTTGATCAAAGTCTAAGACGGGCTGTGTAATGAAGGGTTAGTCAGACTATCACCATAGCAGGCGGGCAAGGCAGTAGTATATGTGGACTAGAATTGCTGCGACTTACAGGACCTGGCGAGGGGACAGGTACAGGAGGCTGTTCTGGGGGCTTATCAAATGATGTCTCTGCATCGTCCTCGCCTTGCTGAAGCCCATCGTCAAAGTCCCCAAAATCATCGTCACCCTCTTCGCCTTGTTCAAAGTCGTCGAAATCGCCAAAACCATCGTCGTCACCGTCCTCGTCGCCAAAGCCGTCGTCATCTTGCTCAGCGGAGGCATCGGCTTCGGGCACGGTGTCGGCTGCGCCGTCACTGGGGCTTATTGGAGACCTGTTATGCGAGGTTGGTGACCCTTCTTCCGTCAATGGTACGCAGGAGGCACCAAGGAAATGCCCTACGTACCTGGGTTGCTGGGCTGGGTAGGCTCTGGTGCTCTGACAATGACATCAGGCGCAGCATCGGCAAGACGCTGCTGGTGGGCAAGTGTACCGGGAACATCGCCGTAGCTGGGCTGGTCGGGATCGATCTTCTCGACAATCGTCTTTGGCACTGGCGTTCCTCCTGGCGTAAGAGGCCTGTCGCTTACACTAACACGAGACGCACTGCGACTTCGTGTGCCTTCGGGTACAATCTCCACCTCATCGGGTACTGCGTCTTGGGTGCGCATATTGTATGCGTCTGTGCCTGGCACCTCGCCGTGGGCCGGCTCGTCGTCTACTCGCTCAACTCGCGTGATGGGAATGGGCGAGGTCATCTCAGATCGTCCAGGCTGGCCTTCCGAGGCATCGGAGAAGTGTTCGTCGCTCGACTCGGCTGCACTGCATTAGAATTGCTACGGCCGAGTGGAAAGGACGACGTACCCAGCTCTTTCGCACCGGGGTCCTCGAGCTCTACACTCTTGCGGGGCGGTGCTAGCTCGTCCGGCATATCGAGGATGCTGAATGTTTCTTCACTTGAAACGTAAATTTGGTATACACAGGTCGTCGGGGAGTGGTTTTGCTTGGAGCAAGGCGTGGGGGAAGTAAGCTGCAAAGGCGACAAGTACAAGTGCGAGTGCTGCGCCCCGTTGCTTGAGCGTGTCGTCTTGTCTCAGGCACGCTCGATTAGCGGGGAACGAGCGGTCTGGACGCTGCAGCACCGGGAAGGTGGGAACAACAATTCACCGGAGCTAAAGCTTGACCCATGCACTGTTTGTCTAACTTTTGGGTTGCGACGACATATTGATGCGCGTGAGAAGAAGAACCGTTTACGCGCATCCCTTGCAACTCGTCAATTGACGACCCGACACTCCCATCTACGGGCGCGACACGACTAGACATTCGCGCGTTCCCAGTTATCTCGCCGGCAATAACAGCTCCTTCACCGTCAACACAAACACCACAGCTCTCCTCCACAGCCGCCATCATGAGCTTCACATTCGGCCAGCAAGGCAACAACAACAACAACGGCGGCAGCAGCAACACACCAAACAAATCGCTGTTTGGTGCCGCGCCTTCCACGGGCAGCGCGACGCCATCCCTCTTCGGAACCGCGAACAGCAACACCTCGAGCACGCCGGCCAGCGGTGGCCTCTTTGGCTCTGCTGGCGCCAACACAGGCGGCTCAGGTGGTCTTTTCGGCGGCGCATCGAGCACGCCTGCGTCCAAGCCTGGCGGTTTGTTCGGCGGAGGCGGAGCCACACCTGCCGCGTCCTCAACACCAGCTTTTGGCGGAGGCTTTGGTTTCGGCAAGAAGGAGGGCGATGCGCCAAAACCAGCTGGAGGTCTGTTTGGAGGAGCGGCCACTGGCCCACCAACAACGTCTTCTGCGCCCTCATTTGGATTTGGTAACGCGGGTGGTTAGTTCCCAAACACATCTCGCACCTCCAACGCGTCTGCTAACACCGCGCTTAGGTTCGACATCAACAGCTACGCCTGCAACGAACAAGACGTCGCTCCTTCCTTCCACTACCCCAGCTGGTGCCCCTCCGGGTGGAAGCCTGTTTGGACAGAACACCCAGGCTAGTGGAGGCACATCCTCTTTGTTCGGCGGCGCAAAGCCAGCAGCTCCAGCAGCAACCACATCGTCCTCCACACCTAGCCTGTTCGGCGCTACCCCCGCTGCAAAGCCCTCGGGCGGCTTCAGCTTAGGAGGAAACACCGGCACCTCGACCGACGCGAACAAGTCCGCGGCTTCTGCCAGCAACCTTTTTGGAGGCGGAAATCAGTCGACCCCTACTTCTCAAGACACACAGGCTTCTAAGCCTGCGGGTGGCCTCTTTGGTGGACTGGGCAGCACAACCCCCTCCTCGACACCCGCGAAACCTCTAGGAGGGTTCAGTGTGGGTGCCACACCTGCACAGCCAGCTTCCTCGCAGGCTTCTTCTACTCCAGCCTCGGGCTTGAGCCTAGGCGGAAACAACACTGCGTCGTCTGCTTCTGCCACACCTAGTCTGTTCTCGCCTGCAGGAGCTTCCACACCAGCATCTACGGGTGGTGGTTTCAGCTTTGCTAAACCTGCTGCTCCTGCCAGCACGGCTGCAACTACCGGGGCTACAACCACTGCCACAAGCGGTGCACCCACCACAACCGCATCATCGAGCTCGTCTTTGTTCCCCAGCATCGGAGGTGGGCTGGGAGGCGGGAGTGCTTCGTCCGCTGCTCCCGCGACTGCCGCCACCACCACTTCTGGCACCACACCCAGTTTATTTAACAAGCCTGCAGCAAGTGAAGCACCAGCAGCATCGTCTAACACTGCTTCGCAACCAACTCCTTCCCTCGGGGCCACGACCGGAAACAATGCTGCCCAAAGCGGACTTGCTGCGTCAACCGCCGGGCCTGCACCATCGGCTCAATCACGATTGAAGAACAAGTCTATGGACGAGATCATCACACGCTGGGCAGCTGACCTCTCCAAGTACCAGAAAGAATTCCAATCACAGGCTGAGACAGTCGCCTCATGGGATAGGGCCTTGGTTGAGAATTCCGATAAAGTCCGACAACTGTACTCGAAGACTTTCCAAGCTGAGCGTGACGCTGCTGAAGTCGAGAGGCAGCTGACGATGATGGAGGAGAACCAGCAGGAGCTCGATTCGTACCTAGATCGATACGAGAAGGAAATTGACAATCTCATGAAGATGCACGGCGTCAGTGGCAAGAACGAGACCCTACGCGGCCCCGACCAGGAGCGCGAGAGGACGTAAGTGAAAACCTGAGAACTGTCTGCAGCTACGAGATAACTAATGAACCCATAGTTACAAGCTTGCCGAGAAGCTTCAAGACCGCCTCAATGAGCTCAACAAGGATCTCACAGAGATGATTGAGGAGATTAACAATACCTCGCAGACGCTCAGCAAGACAGGCAAGCCAGACGATCCTCTTACCAAGGTCGTTCGTGTTCTCAACACCCAGCTTGCACAGCTTCAACTCATCGATTCCGGTGCTTCGCAGCTTCAGGAGAAGATTACCAAGGCGCAGCGGGAGACACAACGTGTTGGTGCCAACGGCTGGAACGGACTTGGCTCGGATCCTTCAGCCGATTTCATGAACAGCATGCGTGGGGCGAGGGCTTCGCAAAGATTTTAATACAATGGATGAGCAGGATGATGGTATAGGATAGGCACGGTCTTGTGCTTTGGATGATAGGGTATGGTCGCATGCATTGGCGTTATCCAGGCGTTTTTTTCTGCACGGAGAGCCGTGCGTATTCTCGAATCCATAACGTCTCATTGAGAAACAGACCATAAAACTAGTAGCACAACATTGTGTAAAGCATCTATGCTTTCTCTCCCTCCCCTGTCCCAAATGTCCCTTCATCCCCGCCCTTTCCCATAATAGCATTGTGCACAACCCCCCCTTCTAACATTCTCCTGCTCTCAGTCCTTGCCTGCATCCATGCCAACGCCGCCGTCCACGCTGCCATGGCAATGCTGACGGCAATCATAGCCCACATACCCCTGGTAAAGTACGGTGCGAAATTTGCACCGTAGAAGACAATGCTCCACCAGGCGTTGATGGCGTTGCTTCCCATGTTCATACTTGCTATGACCACAGCACGCAGACTGTCTTCTTCGTAGCGTAATACGTCGTTTGCCCAGGCGAAGAAGGTGGCTTGACAGGCATAAACACTGCCTGCCCAGTAATACATTGCGAAGTGAATCGTGGTGTTTTGTGGATAGGCGAGAATGAGGGCTGAGGTTACGATACCAGTTATGCCGATCCAGTAGCCGACAAGATAACGTTTCCCGCCCATAAAGTCCGTTAGTGTGGCCCAAAACAAAGTCGAAACGATGCCGACAGCAGGTACTCCGGTAGGATAGTTGTTATTCTGAGCCACGGTATAAGTGTTTGTAGGATGTGAGCGCATGTAAAGTTGCAACAAAGCGTTTGTGCTAAAAGATTCGGTCTCTCCCGCTAGAATCCAGAGGATGACGAAAAAGTACCAATACCACGTTGAGAAGCAATGCTTCAAAAAGGACAAGGATATTGGAGTGCGCTCCGAGACTTCAGGAACGCGGGAGATTGCTAGCGCTTTCTCGGAGGCACTGAGGTAAGGCGCTCGTGTGTTTCTTGGCGTATCGGGGAAGAGGGCAAAACCGTAGATGGCTACAGGAAGTGTGATGAGTCCGTCGATGACTGAAGAGACTTGGCGTTAGTGCGTTAATTGTAGATGTTGTTAAAACAACTTACTGAAGAGCCATCGCCAACCACTCATCCCCCGGAGGCCGTCCATGCTACTGTGTATACCCGTTTGGATGAAACCACCAATCATAGTGCCAGCAAGACCTGATGCGGTGAATATTCCAGAGCGTTTCCCTAGCTCTTTTTCGGTGTACCAAGAACCAAGAATGTAATGGGTTCCTACGAACGTCGATGATTCGAACAGCGCTTGGAAGAAGCGGATTGCCATGATGTCCTGAGGTTTCTGAGCGGCTGCAGTGACCATTGTCAAGCCTGCCCATGCTACCTAGATTGAATAAGTTACAAAACCCAAGGCGCTTTGGGTTAGAGACGCACCATGCAGGCAGGGAAGAAATAACGAGGCTTGATGTAGTACAGCAGGATGTTACATGGCACTTGCCCTATAGTATACCTAAGTATGCCGAATTAGTATGAGAATATTCATAGTCTTCTTTCATTTATGCTTACTTACCCTACAGTAAAGACGGTGTTGATCTGATTGAGTTGGTTGCCTTTGAAGTCCAGCTCTTCCCTCATACCAGAAACGTACGCATTGTTAAGATTGGTGCGATCAAGATAATTGAGGAAATACATGAGACAGCAGAAAGTAAGGATGAAAAAATCAAGCTTCTGCACCAGCTTGCGCTCGCCTGGCGCATTCTGGTCGCCTCGAAGATAGGCGATGAAGCTGTTGGCCATGTTGGAACGGGTTATTGCACGATTGAGGGCAAAAGTATTGCGCCCTGTCGCTAGAGATGTGCTGTTGAGCAATGGAAGATGGCTTTGCCTGTTTTCGAACGGCTGTCGCTATCAGCTATGTTTGTAGTATTGGTTATTCTCCGGGTGACATTGTCCGCCCCATGCATCATAGGACCGATAGACGCTGGGGGCAAGATATGGTTGATACTACGCCACTTATGACTGACTCGAGATAGGCATATTCAGTAAGCGTTTTTGCCGATCATATCTCTGTGGTGAAGCGGCTGAATGCCGGTATCGGTTACTTGGGTGTTCGTATCTGAATCTCAACAGGGCAGGTATAACCTCTTGACCAGCGGTAGTCTATCTCGGCCGAAGCAACGGGATGTCTGATAGTAGTTAGTCTGGGTCGGGTGCGTCCAAAGGTGCGGGGAATGGTATCGTCGACGCCTCCAATGGCTTCGGTTGGGGACCACCACAATGACAGATGGCCGCGGCGCAGACGACCCGAGAGTGGGGAGAATACATTGCGGTAGGGTCATGAGTACTCACTGAAACGCTCGAAGTAACCGTCTTTCAATCTTGTAAACTTATTCACTATTGTTCTTCGATATTGTAGTAGCTTGGCGTTGCGAAAGTCTTAAAGTATGACATCTGAAGCGAATTGGGAGAAAGTTGCTGCGGGGAAGCGCGCAGCTCTCGCGGAATCCATTCCGACCGAATATCGCATACCGCAAGACAAGATACCACCAGAGTCTCAACTCGACGTGACAACATGGCCTAAGGAGTCTGGGTGGTTTACAGCAAACGAGCTTGAGATCACTGAGAGCAGCGCAATCCACATTCTGGACCAGATCGCGTCGAAAACATGGAGCGCCGAAGATGTCACGATCGCGTTCTGCAAACGCGCAGCAGCAGCGCAGCAATTGGTATGGCAGAACCTCCAGGAGACATGTGAATCATTTTAACGCGTGTGTAGACCAATTGCCTTAGCGATGTGTTCTTCAATGAAGCAGTGCAGCAAGCCAAATCCCTCGACGACCATCTCCAGCGAACTGGCAAGATTGTTGGGCCACTCCATGGTCTGCCAATCTCTCTCAAGGACAACTTCAATATAAAGGGAAAAGACAGCACTGTAGGCTTCACCTCATTAGTCAATCAGCCGGCGGAGTACAATGCTACGTTGGTGGATATACTCGAACGGCTGGGCGCAGTCCGGTATTGCAAGACAAATGTGCCGACAGCCATGATGATCGTATGTATGCGCGCAGGCATATATTGGGTTGGAAGTTGACAGGATACAGGCAGAGTCCGTTAATAACACATTCGGACGTACCGTTAATCCGCTTAATCGCAAAGTCACGTCTGGCGGCTCTTCAGGCGGAGAATCAGCCCTCATTGCGTTTGGAGGTAGTCCTTTAGGCGTCGGGACCGACATAGTGAGTTCTATATTGTGACGTGTAATCCTCATATCTAACAAGATCAGGGCGGCAGCTTGCGAATCCCCGCAGCATGCACCGGCATCTTCACTCTTCGACCATCTTTCGGTCGCTTTACAACACAGCGATGTAGATCTGGTCTCGCTGGCCAGGAAGCGGTACAGAGCGTCAACGGACCCATGGGAAAGTCGCTTCAGGATATCACCATGTACTCGAAGGCGATTGTCGATGCGGAGCCATGGAAACTAGACCCAAAGATGCTGCCTATCCCGTGGCGGTCAGTTGATGTTCCGGGGAGACTCAAGATAGCGGTCCTTTGGAACGATGGTGTCTGCTTGCCCACACCCCCGGTAACGCGCGCTCTCAAGGAAACGACCGAGAAGCTGAAGAAGGCTGGACATGAAGTTCTGGATTGGAATCCAAGACTACACGGAACTGCGCTGGCACTTCTGGTGAGCTACTTTTGGAGCTACACCAGCCCCCAAGCTGACAAGCATAGGGACGAATGTTCGTCGCCGATGGCGGCAAAAGCGTCGAATCATTACTCGGGGCGACAGGCGAGCCATTTCGACCTGAGATGGTTCAGTACAAAGATGCCAAAGAATTGGGCGTATATGACATGTGGAAGCTACATTCAGAGAGATCCGAGCTACAACGGCAGTACCTGGAACAGTGGATGGCGATCGAAGGGCTCGACGCCATCTTAGGTAAGTCGAGCATTTGTGTTTGCTGCAAAGCAGTGTTTAACCTTTCTTAGCACCCACGACCCCGTACTCAAGTGTGGCGCATGGCGATTTCAAGTACGTCGGGTATACTGGTGTATATAATGTTGTTGACTATGCCGCCGTATCTTTCCCATGCGGGGTCTCTGTCGACAAAGCAGTCGACAAACACGCGAGTGACTACAAGCCCCAGAGCGACTACTGTCAGGATGCTTATAACAGCTGTAAGCTATACACTGTGCTACCGATGGTTATGTTCGACAACTGATGAACGACAGATCAACCTGAGCTATTACATGGTCTCCCAGTCAGTCTACAGTAAGTGTTGAATCGTTGTTGCTGAAAAGAGCAATATTGACTCATGCAGGCTGGTCGCGCAACGGCTAGAAGAGGAAAAGGTGCTGGCTATGACTGAGTCAGTACTCCAGGCGATATACTCTTAGTGACATGAAATGCGTGGAACAAGCCCTGCCATCTAAACGTACTTGACAACTCTCTGTTGTGATACGGTCGCTGGACATCGCAGCTTCCTCGTAATTTCAGCAGGATGTTGGCCGCAGAGTGTGCAGCAAGAGCTATCAGTCACGTTAAATAAGTAAACAAAAGATGGGTAATAATAACCTCCGTGTTGCTGAGTTCCAAACAACATCACCTCTACCTTCCACTTCGTCCATCCTTTTCGGCTCAGCTCTACAACGACCAGCTTCTTCTACGCCCTCTGCCTCTGCCGCCCTGCTTGCGTCTATCTGCAAGTAGTCGAAGCTGGTCATCTCATATCCTTCATATTCTTCGCCCTTTCGACTGGCTTCTCACTTCACTCTTTGGGCAGTTTGACCGTTAAGCATCAAAGCAGCGTACGATAACCGTCTTCGAAACCCGTGCGCATTCGCCGTTTCAGCCCGAACCAAGCTGGGTTTCACTCCCTGGTATGACTGAGTCTAAAGACAATGCTTCGAAGGTATCGAGCGCACACCTGAAGATGACTACAGCCCCAGAGCGCAAGAAGCCTGCACCACGTACCACGTCGGAAAGACTCCCTTGGCTGACTCACAAATCTGCTCGGAGCGTGGCTGCAGCCTTGACAGATGGTCAGAACAGTACAGCCGTGGAGAGCTCATGCAGTTCGCCCATAGATGATCATCAAAGCCCTGCTCAATCACCGTCAACCATTCGTCCTTCTGGCCGTAAAGTATCTGTTACAGGTGCTTCGACACCTGCTATCACGAGCAAACCGATGGCGCGACACAATCGACTGGTGCAAGCAGCTGAGCGCCGACTGTCGTCAGCGGTCCCGAGCAGCCCATCTCCAGTAACAAGGCACCGACTATCCCAGGCGCGTCGAGCCTCGCTGGCAATTGACGCAGTGACTCCATTGAGAGCAGCACGAGCGTCTATATCGCAGTCACACAAATCACAGAAGAGACGTTCTATCGTACATGCCAAGAAAGACGATGAAGAGCCAGAACACAGCGATCTTTATGAACCTCGCCCTCGAATTGACAGCCTGGCGCCCGTTCCTGATCATCTCCAGCATTCAAGCACTTCAGATTCAAGCAGCACGCCTCCTGCGGCCGTATCGGGAGTAAATATATCCCCCAATCAACCGGCACCGATACCTAGTACATTCGTGGGAGCCATGGATAGGAGTATCAACAACATGGTTGAAGGCTTAGAGGCTATGGTTCAAGAAGCGGTCGAGGTTGCTGAGGTCGCTGATGATCGAAGTCAAGTGGAAGAACTGTGCACAATCATTGAGGGAGCGAAGGGCGCTGTGCATGATGCTTCCCCCGAACCTGGATTTCTCATGACAACCGCACTTCCTCTTAAGGTGTCTGACTCTTCAAGCTCATCTAGTCGCCACCAGAATTTACAGCCGTCTGCCATCGTCCAGCAAGGTGGCATAGATGATGTCGCTCCCAATTTCCGGCTGCCACAAGATGTACCAAGAGCCTCAGTGTCCTACGATTGGGCATACGCGAATCCAGGCGTTCGAAAGCAAGATGGTTCGTCTACTTCATTATGCTCGTCCAGTGATCATGAAAGCGAGCGAGACCATGTCGATTTCGTCACGCGAAGCGATCTGCTCCTGCCAAAGCTGGCTCAAACAGCTCCAAGAGAACACGTCGATTTCGTTCTTCGTCCTGTAGGTAGAGACAAATCTCGCGGTCGGTCTCGCCAACGCATCACTGATAATATTGCGGTGCGTCGAAATCGCCGCTGTCGAAGCCACGAGCATACATCGAGACCTAAAACTCGGCTTGGGCCAAGGGATGACTCGGGCTTCGGTGAGGGAGATACCTCTTTAGATGAGGACGACAGGCTGTCGAAGCCATATGGCACCGAACTTACGGTACGAGGACAATCCCACCATCACACGTTTGGTCTTCGACGACATCACCGCAGACAGCCAATTGCACGAAATTGGTCTGCAGGTAAGAAGCGTCTTACTGCGAGTATTGCGTGTATCAACACAGCTCTGCTTGGTGTCATCGTTGGCATCTATGCGGGTGAAGTGCCTCGCATACAGTATTCCCTGGCGGACGAACGCCACGTCACGATCATAGGTAATGCAGTATTGTACGCTGGGCTTGCTTTTTCGACCTTCTTTGCCTGGACACTACCCCTCCTACATGGGCGCAAACCCTATGTCCTCGCTGCTCTCGCAATCGCCTTGCCACTCCAATTTCCCCAAGCAATTGTCGTCAGCGGCTTCCGCAACAAGGACGCGAAGTATCGTGTCGGCCTTTTACTTTCTCGTGGCTTATCTGGGGTCGTTCTCGGATTTGCAAATGTCAATTACATCACTGTGTTGCTTGACCTCTTTGGGGCTTCTCTACAATCCAAAAACCCTCATCAAGAGTTCGTTGTTGCAAACGATGTCCGTCGCCACGGTGGAGGTATGGGCATGTGGCTGGGGCTTTGGTCATGGTGCTGGATCGGGTCTCTGGCCGTCGGCTTCCAAATCGGGGCTGCGATCATCGAAAAGCTGACACCGGACTGGGGGTTCTATATTGTCGTGGTGATCCTCGCTCTTGCCTTGATCTTAAACATCATGACTTCAGAAACGCGACGCGCACCATTCCGGAAGTCGGTGACTGAGGTATATGACAGAGACGAGAACTACATCACAAGGCGTGTGAGCAGGGGTGAAGTGAAATTGCACATCGAAACCGAAGGACCGAAGTATTGGTTCGAGGAAGTATGGGCGGGTATGCAGCTTATGGCAATGATGCTGTGTCAACCTGGCTTTCTCGTCCTGGCATTGTACCTGGGATGGATATATGCACAGGTCGTCCTTGTGATCATTTTGCTAGGTGCTCTCCTGTCGCGAGACTACAGATGGAAGCCGACAAAGGTGGGCGCGGGTGTTATATCCATAGCTATCGGCGCCTTGCTTGCGATCCCCCTAACGAAAGCGGGCATCTTCTCTCGGGAGCGAAAGAGCGCATTTCGCACCGACTCCATGACGTTCCAGAAACAAGTCACCTGGTCAAGCCATCTTGTCCGCCGCGCAATCTTCACACTGACACTTCCTCTCATGGGCATGGCGTACACTGTCTCTTCGGCTAGGCGCCCTCAACCATGGCTTGTGCCGATTGCTTTCGCTGGCGCTGTGGGTTTCCTCAGTATTCTCGCCATAGCTGAATGCTACGGCCTGATGATGGAAACGTTCGATACATGTGACCTACAACCTGGAGTCAACACACGACATCGGCTGCAAAGCATGGCTGTACAAGACCGCAGAAGAAGAACGAATTACACGTCCTTTCCCCGTATCACTGCTGGTATCTTCGCCAGTCAAATCATCGCGTTCATTCTCGCTGCAGTTGCGACGATAGTCGGTGGAAGCATGACGCGCAATCTTGGCGCACAAAAGTCCACAGGGACAACGGCAGGCATCCTCTTTGCTCTCACTGTTCTGCTTATCCTGGTCCTCTGTCGCTTCAAGTCGGTACAGGTCATACCGAACCATACGTTTGGAACTAGACGCGACACGGCAGCCTGGCAAGAGTTCAAAGACCTGGAGAAGGTTGGGCGTGGCAGCGACTGGAAGGCTGTGGTCATTGGAAATCCGAGTGGCAAGATGAGGAGAATGAGCGTGCTTGAGTTGGGAGCACTGAGTCGCTGGACAGAGATCCGGAAGCTAAACTTTCTGATCAAGGGAGTCATGTTGGGACAGGCAAAGGAGAAGAAAGACATGGGAGATGGTTGGTGAAGGTGTTCAGACATGTTTGAGTATTGCTGGAGAGGTGTTGATTGGGTATCAGAGAGCATTGACCTGAGAGTATACTATAACAACGAAAGCGCATTACCCAAGGCACTACGATTGTAGAGAAGGTAGGAAGCGGCGAGTGAAAGGTGACCTCATATGTGCGACTAGCATGGGATTGTTGAGGTGGTAATGCCAATATCGTTAATCCCCTGAGCCATCCGGGCAAGAGCGTCCGTGCGCGGCTGAAAAACCAAGCGTCACTGCCGAGCTCCATCCACCCTCACGAGCAGACGACCGGCGACACCCCATCTCCCCTTCGTCAATTCACATCAAGATGTCTCTCGCTGCATCACGTGCCGTATTACGGCAATCGACGTTCGCCGTCCGCCGCGCTGGCATCCGCAATGCCTCGACGACCGCCGAAGCCACCAACACCGTAAAGGAAACCGCGTCAAAGGCACAGTCCAAGGCATCAGAGGGTCTCACCAAGGTCACAAGCTCCGCGAGCTCTGCGGCGTCGGGTGCCGGTCAAGCCGTCAACAATGCGACACAGCAAGCCACTGGACGGGTAGGAAGGATGGTCAACTTCGTGCAAGGTCAGTCACCCCATCTCAAAGGCGGGGGAGCGTGCCAATTGGCCATGGGAGCATTGCGTCTAGTACCAAGAGCCGGGATACCAGAACATGAAGCGCATTGGTTTATCCGTGCAGCTTCACATGGCTTATCAACCGCAGCCATGTTTGTAGAGTTGGACCGTGATAGACGTTGGGCAGGAATTCTGATGCAGGATGATACTCCATCCGGAATCACACACTGACATTATCACAGGACTGGTTCCCAAGGCTACCTACTACGGAAGGGTCGGACTTGAGCTCGGCAAGCTCATTGCCCACCAACGAAGCATGCAACCACCGTAGGCCTCCCACAAGCCCGGCTTGGCATGCTGGAATATCGGAATAATTACTGACTGCTTACAGATCCATCCAGACTATGCAGAACTACATCCAGCCCGCATTGAACGCTCTCCGCAACCCCAGCTCCCTCTTCAACCGCGTAGCCAGCGAGGCCAACAGCGCCGCCCAGCAACCCGCCAACGTCCTTGCGCAAGTTCGGAACATGCCCCGCGAACAGTGGTACTCTATGGGCGTTGTTTTTGCCGAGGTCATCGGTTTCTTCTCCGTTGGCGAGATCATTGGCCGATTCAAGCTTGTTGGCTACCGGCAGAAGAAGGACGAGCACCACTGAGTGCGGTGAGCTTGAGGGATGAGCTTAGGAAAGCTACGACACGACATTTCAGCATGCACTAGGTTCGAGAGGTAGTGGGGAGGGCTACGAGGGGCTGGTGAGGAAGGAAACACTGTACGATTTCGCGGGCAGGAAAGCTGAGCAAGTGTGTTTGCGGTGCGTTCGGGGTGGTAGGGATCCGATACTGTATACTGCACATACCTCTGATTTAGATTCCATTTTCTACATGTGCAATTATTGGCAATGCATCTACTTCAGTACCAGGACAATAGTAGCATAGTAGTAGCAGGTTACACGTGAATGCTCGAATGATCGGCGCTAGTTGCGCCGAATCGCCGCGGCCCAATTATTTTTCTGAGCGCGCAATCGAACTTTTGCAGTCCGCGCAGCAGCAACCCAAGACGTGATGATGCCAAGGACATGATCACTCTTGCTGAACATCTTTCCAGCCCACCGCCACTATGAACGTGTTTAAACTCCTCTCGCGATCCTCGAAAGCGGCGCAGACGTCGCCCGCGCAAAAGCTTCCTTCCTCCGGCGCCGTCGCAAACCCGCAGCTGTTCGGCCACGACGAGCCAACACACCCCTCGGACACGTCGAATACTAGTCGCAAGAGGAAAAGGGGTCAGAATCTGGCAGACGTATCTGCGAGCGCAACTAAATTCCCCGCCGATCTCGACTTCTTTGGCGGCGGTGCAAGCAAAGATTCAGAGTCAAGTGGAAACACTCTTTCCAAGAAGCAGAGGAAGAAGCAGAAGCAGCAAGAGCGCAAAGAGGAAGCTATCCTTCAGGAAGGCGCAGGCGAAATAGAGGAGGAGCCATACAATGCGGACGAGTGCAAGAGGGTACTGCGCTCGCATAAGCTAAAGGTTGCAATACTCGATGATTTTGCGACACAAGTAGAAGAGCCGACTAAAGAAAAGAAGTCGAAGAAGAGAAAGAAGGAGAGGGAGATCAAGGAAAAGAAGAAGAATGCGAACAGATCCCTCTATCCACAACCCCTTGTCGAGTTTGCCCAACTACGAACACGTTACGGTATATCGAGACGTTTGGCGGAGAACATAGCAGAGCAAGGGTACAAGCTACCTACTGAAGTTCAGCTTGGTGCTTTACCGTTGCTACTGGGCAGCAAGGGCCGCAAGGTTACTGGCGACGTCGAAGGCTTGTCTGGTGCTGAGTTCAATGGAGACATTGATCTTCTGACAGTAGCACCTACAGGCAGTGGAAAGACAATGGCGTTCCTGATACCCATCATCGACTCACTACTCGCGGAGAGCAGCACTGCGGACATTAGGGAGGGTCCACGCGCCATTATCCTCGCCCCTACTAGAGAGCTTGCGGCGCAGATTGTCAACGAGGCGAGGAAATTGGCAAAAGGCACGGCAATCAAGGCTACACTCATGAGGAAGGGCATGCAAGTCGTGCAAGAACCAGAAAAGGAGATACCTGAGGATACAGTGGATGCGGTTGACGCGTCCGAAAATGACGAAAGTGATTCTCAAACTGACGACGAAGGGGCGGCAGCACCAAAGAAGAAGCAGGCTGGTCAAAGGGCAGAACTCGTGAAAGCCGCCATCCTAGTCGCGACGCCGCTTGCTCTGCTCAACGCACTGAAGCGCAGGAACAGCACTGTTGCGAACATTCCTAGCGCATCTCAGCTTGTGCTTGATGAAGCAGACGTCCTCCTCGATCCCCTCTTCCGCGAACAAACGCTCGCGATATGGAATGCTTGCACAAATCCCAGGCTTCGAATTGGTCTATGGTCAGCGACCATGGGCTCCAATATCGATAGTCTGACGACATCTACCCTGAACGACCGCTGGACTGCCCTCTCCGCTTCACAGTCCGACCTTCCTCGGCGCCCACCGCTCATCCGGCTCGTCGTTGGACTCAAAGACTCCGCTATACCCAATATTTCACATCAATTAACTTATGCCGCTACCGAGCAAGGCAAGCTTCTTGGTCTGCGTCAGTTACTCCATCCGACTTCCGTCTTCACCAACTCGAACCAGCCCACGCTCCGCCCACCGTTCCTAGTCTTTACACAAACGATACCCCGAGCCATTGCACTTCACTCAGAGCTCCTCTACGATATACCCCCAGAAGCAGGCGGTAGCTCGCGCATCGCTGTTCTACACGCCGATCTATCCTCGTCCGCCCGCGATAGCATAATGACGCGCTTCCGAAAGGGCGAAATCTGGGTTCTCATAACCACAGACCTTCTAGCCCGCGGCGTAGACTTCCGCGGTCTAAACGGCGTCGTAAATTACGACGTACCCACCTCCGCAGCTGGCTACGTCCACCGCGTAGGCCGCACTGGACGTGCCGGTCGTCAAGGTGGTGTCGCAGTCACATTCTACACACAAGACGATATCCCCTATGTCAAGCTCATTGCCAACGTTATCCGTGCTTCTGAGAAGTTAAGGGGACTTGGTGATGAAGAAGGGAGTGTCAAACAGTGGATGCTCGATGCACTGCCTACGCCGAGCAAGAGGGATAGGCAGCTCCTCAAGAAGAGGGGTGTTGAGGCTAGACGTACGGCAAAGGGGAAGGATGTGAAGCCTGAGAGCAGAATTAGTAGTAAGAGTGGGTATGATAGGAAAATTGAGAATAAGAAGAGAGAGGCTAGGGAGGCGGCAAAGAAGAGAGGAAGTACGGTCGTAGGGGGTGGTAGCGATGCGGAGAGTGCTTTTGAGGGGTTTGAGTAGATTGGACTGGGTCATCCATTGCCATAAATGAGATATGTGTCTGAACAGTACATATGTTGTCTATGACACTGTCCGCATCGCTGTGCATGACACTGGCTTTCCAAATGTTGAACCTCTTCCATACCTTGATCCTCGATAACGGATAATTACACGTTTTTATGATCTTATCTCCAACCAATATATATACATGCTACTAGAACTCGACGTACCATTATAACCCGCACTTTTGTGCACTGCTCTTGAGGTTGTTACAAGTCAATCAAAGTGATGACGGAAATTTCGGACTTCACATCTTTTTTGTATCTTTCGCTCTATAATTCTTGGTGGGCGATAATTTTTTTACAATCTTTGTTGCAGATCTCAAGGTATGTTGTGATTACAGAAAGGCTTCCGAGAGCTTGGATCCCCGAAGGTGTGAGGTTTGCTTTTTTTGTTAGCGCTCCCAAGCCCTCACACCTACGGGTGTGTCCGCCATTTTGTTTTCGACCCGCGGTTAGATCGATAGTAAGTGGTTTTTGTCTACTGTGGGAAAGACACGTCTTCCATGCCGGAGTATAACGGGTATATCAGGGTCTTTTCGCTTGTATCGATTAGGAGGCGACTAGCCATGTGTAAAGATCAATGCAATTCGTTTCTTTCACGAATCCGGGGCAATGGATCTGAATTAGATAACTCGAACCGAATGTATGCGACTTGCGCTCTTGTCAGTTTCTGCACATTCGAAACTAGTTTTTCGAAAATCGCAGTAAAGTAGAGAGCGGCTTTGACGTGTCGGTAATCTTCAAGGCTCAAACTGCAGTGCTGTCTTTTCCGCCGGCATGATCCATGGAGCTGCTGCAGCATCGAAAGGGTTTCAGAAAAAAAGCAAGTACCGTCTCGCGCATCTCATGGGAAAAAGCATATTCAGATCCACTTCCCGTCCGCGGTCTGGTGCATCTGACTACTGTATCCTTCGCTTAGATGGCACCCTGAGGTCTGTCGAGAGTCAACCTCGGCCCACTCTGGTGGCTTTCGGTCCATATGACCTGCCTTTCTGGTGCATGCCATAGGGTCACCCATCCCGATATCTGTTCACCAACATTGGAAATGAGAGTGGTAGTTGATGCGGCCTGGCGTGGGCCTTTCACGGCACCCATTCTGTTGATCAAGGGTGTGAGGGCATGCGAGCCTTGTGTGACGGCGGTCTTCAACTCCATATCCACTCAAATCCCTCGGATTTTACTTCTCGATCGGTGGAGTTGCGGAACCGCGCTATGAGGCCATTTCCGGTCGGCGTCCTGCTCCGAACTCCAATCCCAAGATGCTCAGTATTAGCAATGTGACCACCATGCTTACGCAGCTTGTGAAGACTTTTGCTGAGTGGCCAACGAGCTGATGAATCGGAGGAACCAGGCAAAGTACTGCTGTGAAACCACGTGGTGCAACAAAGAAATGTGCTGAGGTTGGTGGTCGAGCGGGCGAGAACTGTGTTCACTTATCCATCTGCGAGTTGGTTCATAGATCAAAACGCTTCTGAGCACGCAATCAGCTTCTGGCTTATGCAAACCTCTGATGGCGCTTCGTTCGGCTCGTGTTTCCTTACTGATAAGCAGGCCGTGTGGAGGGCGCTCACACCACCCCGCATCCCACAGCCTAATCGCGAGCTGTCCAAACGTGACCAAAAGTGTGATGTTGCCGAAGTACGCAGCTTTTCTGTGCATATGCGGCGATATCGTTCGATGATTCAGATTTTTAAATTCGAAGGATTCGGTGTCTGTTCATGGAACGGTTCCAGACCGATAAATGGCAAGCTCGTCTATCGCGTCTATCCTGTCAGTTGCCTGAGACGCCCAAAGGCGTTTTGAGGCGTACGGATACGGGTAGCAGCAGGATCGTAAAGTTGCCGCTGTCGTGTTCAGACCAGGAAGCCAAGAAATGTGGGACTTTGCCGGTACACTCGTGCAACCGTGTCGCAGTCCAGTAGTTCACCATACCTGTCTGTGATGACGCGGACTAAATTCTACTCTTGACCGGCTGGCTCTTTTGTGTGCTTCTTTCGATAGCGCAACATAGCAAGTTGATTCGATGACATGTTCCAGTACTGGTGTGATGATATGGAGTCTCGTGCCACATACCTATCTAGCTCGGCATCGACCTACTTACCAATCTTTAGCCTTTAGAAGGTATATGCTTGTCCTTCAGGTAGGCCTAAATTTTGTAGGCGAACCAGGGTAAACGAAATGCAGGCCAAGCAAGGGCTTATGATGGCGTGCATACGGCAAGGGCGCAGGCCCAGGGTCGGCTGCGGTTCGAAGTTGGTGTATGCTGAAAATCTCAACAAAATGTTATGAGCCATTGGAATCTACTGAAGACTTCCTATAAATTTTGTGCCGAGCAGAAAACTGTAGAATAACGAGAACCGTACGACGGGGTTCTTCGAGGAGTTTTGTCGAAGAGGTTGATGTCCACGCAATCAGCTAGCTGTGAGAGCTTTCTGTTGACAATTCATTGATTTGGCATCTAACGTAGCTTTGAAAGACGGTCTCCATGGAGAAGGAGTATTGGGCTGAGTCAAGATTGTCTAAACCCAATCGGTTCGCATTAACAGCTGACATGATATACATGTTTGCCAACGCTTAATATATGGCCGAAACCAGAAATATCCTACCCGGTGTGGTTGTCCTCGCAGCATGCTCAGCGCCACGGGCGGGTACCGCCTATATAAGCTTGCGATGGGGGTTTTGCTGTTTCAGTAATACTTGTGGTTGGATCAGTCAGCTTAAAGGAAAAAGCTTATGTCCTGATAGACATCCCGAGCACGTGCTGCCTGGAGCAGCCACTCCGGTGTATCATGGTATATGCACGACATCAGAGATCGACCGACGTCGTATTAGTCGGCCACCCGCATCGCTTGGCAGTCTTGTATCATGGGACTAGATCGAGATGTGCGCTGAAGCTGCTAGCAACCGTTCTGCTCATCAGGGCATGCGACATTATTGCCAATCCGGAATGTACGAAGTGTGTGCCTCTTTGGGATGTCAGCAAAAGTCAGTATAGACACCAAAGACTAGGGACTGAAGACGTCTGTTCTTGGTTTCTTCGAAAGGATCAACATATGCAGCTAAGTGTTCTTCACACCGTTCGCAAAGGGTAAGCAGGGCCGTGGTTATGCAATAGGATATAAGCTCTGCGGGCGGTTTTGGGGTCAGGGATATGCAGCCGCATACAGAATATGGATAAGGACATTCGCTATAGCCTCCGACCCTGGTCAGCTTATAGTGGCCTCCAATTTCCGGCAGTGCGGGAGATGTCCAGTCCAATACGACGCGGCCGACATGCGCCTCAGCTGGAATGCTGCACACGGTATTTGGAGGTGTACGGGCCATTTTTGGCCGCACTGAGGTGTCGCGCGACCCCTTAGGCTGATTCGCCGCTGTGGTGGTATTATGGTCCAAAGGCGAGATAAATAGTGACGTGTGAGGGCCTGCATCCATGGCTCGGTTAGAAGGTGGTGTGAGTGTGTGGGGAACAAAGTAAGAGCGCTTCAGGACTGGCGATCAACACCACTGATTAGCGCGTCGCTAGCGTCCTCCAGGGATTCTCCATGACCCCGGCCCCCGCGCGGACAGCCAGACATCGTACGAGAGACAGTAGCGGAATTAGATACATTGTTATGTTTAGCATATATCTCTACGCTTGACTGAACGCGTCGCTGAATGCATGAGGGTGTGGATCGTTTGTTGACGAGTACGATAGGGCACCTATGTGCGCAGGTGCACACTGATCGGCGCTAGTCCTTCAGTCGATCCCAAGCTGTTGTAGCTCACCAGGCCAGCAACCACCACCACTTGACCCGTCGTCATCCGTAACCAACCCACTTCTCTCGCCTTACAGTCTTGCCAAATCGCACCATTACGTGTTTTTTCCTAGCCGAGCCTCAAAGCACACAGAAACAAGCACTATTGTGCCTCCTTTCCGGACAATTTCCTTGTCTCAGGAGTTCCACTTTCGGTACTCGGAGGCAATAATACTACCCCCAAAAAATACTTGAAATGTCTGAGGATACAAGACGTTCTATCCATCGACTGAATGCTGCAAGTGTTGCCGCTCATAGATGTACTATAGGAATGACCGGAGTGAACCCCAAGGGACCTGCGGCAAAGCCCCCGGCCAGCAACAGCGCCGTTGGAAACCGATAATCGTATTAACTCCATGATATCACGAAGAGTTGGAAACACCGAGATTTCCCTCAGGGTCATCCCCGTTTACAGAGCTCACATGGCAAGCTGGGCAAGAGCCAAATCGGTGTATCAAAAGGTCATTTGGACACCTTGCGTTGAGACCATCCGGCTTCTGTGCTGAGGGTTTGCAACGATACAAAGATTTAGAGTGCCACTATCCAAGTCATCTGGCACATCTTTGGGCGAGAAGGTTGCACGCCCTAACTATTGTCCTAAGCTCCCGAGTAGTGCGAAGCATCAAAGCCATCCTCAGCCTTGCTCAGCTTCCGGTTACTTACAGAACGCTCTTCCGGAAAGTGACATGATCGCTTAGGAATCATGCGGAGGGAAATCGCGGTAAGTCTTTCTTGTCAAGGCAGACTCGCGGTGTCATACGATTTTAGACCTTATGATGACTATTGTTGAAGGAAAATGCGCCAGTTCGCGTTTGAAACATCAGCGTCCCCCATCCATTTTCCATCTGAATAGCAGACTTGGTAAACAGTATCGTTTACTTTGTCTGATCATAGTCAACCGTCCTTTGTTGTATTGGAGCAGACACGTGTGGCGGCTTGATGGAGCGATTGAATGTGTAAAGATCTCCTTGAGAATATCAGGAATGTATAATTGGAGTTGGACAGCTACCCTTCAGAAGTTGAGCGCTTTCTATTTGATAAATCAACCGAACCAAGGATAGGATATACTTGAATTGGTCTATGCATATGCCTATTGTCCTTCTCGTTGACAGCATCATTTATTGGGCGTTATGTGATTGATTTCTAGAAGTCGAGCATTTCATCTCGAACTTACTCATCGTGGGAAGACCCCCTGGATGCCAAGAAATGCCGACAACCATAGTACAAATAGCAGTACGCAACTGTGCTTGAGCCTCCACAGCGCCAGACCCTGTCTCGTCTGTGGCGCAGGCGCGTAAAAGTGTTAACATTCGTGTACGGCTCTGGCTTTCGCGAGGAAGCGGCAAGCGATCCGCACTATGCGGAGGATCAGCTTTGCCCGAGCCTGTGGTTGATGACGCAATATCCGCAAGTGTCCTGACAGCTGTCATTTTGTACCCATGAGAATTGGTGTTTGCCATACTTGAGGTTCGGGCATGATCACCGGTCGAGATTACGACTTTGTCCCACCTTGATGACAGCCAGCCTAGTGTGTGGGTTGGACAAGGTGATATATTACCATACAGCATCGCTGATCCAAGATAGATATTCCACATCTGCTCTGTTGGAAGCCGGATGTAGACATTGACAGGACCGAAAGGTAAGGCTTCATGCAGGGAAGCGCCAGCAGCCATGACCCATCTTTCGCTCGATCACGCCCACCCACCTTTGTAAATTACATGCAGCATGCACAAGCAAGCCTTTTACATGGTTGACATCAAGATAATTGGATGCGCGTATGTCTTCCCGCGGCCCGACGTTTGGATCTGCATGAGCATGGTATAAACCCCGTCTCTGCAGCGTCCTACACAACCTTGGAGTTTGAGGCAGGCGTACCCGGACCTTGTATCTCTTCATCCGGTGCAGGTACCTTTCCAGTACTGTGGTCGAGCGGGACTGAGACGATAATTACAGTCAAGCTGAGGCAACGTAGCAGTAAGGTCCAGGCGACTGGCTGCTGTATAGGGTAATGTCTCCGACGAGAAGGCCATCGGTCAACGTACGACCAATACAGGCTACTAGTGCTTGGACGAACGGAGCACGCCTACAATACGGACCGGCGAAGCACATGGTAACATAATTCTCGCAGCGGCTGACCGTAGCAAGCCGGCGCTGTGGCAGGTGGCTCGGTTGCAGCAAACGGGCAATCGAGTTAATCAATCGAGCAGCCCCGGAATTTTTCCCGTTGGCCAGCGGCAGCGAAATAACAACGAAGGCTGCTGTAGCAGAGAGATTGTGGATGAGTGGTAATAACTAATTAGCCGTGCCGGAAGCATGTACGAACGGAGGATGAAGACGCCAGCCCTGCCGCCAAAAGGTAAG